GCTGAAACATCAGTTTATTCCATTTGAAAGACGTTACTTCATCTATATATCTACAACATCAGTTCATTCCATTTGAAGGACGTTACTTCATTTATATTTTTTAAAAGATCAGTTCATTCCATTTGCAGGACTTTACTTCATTTATATTTTTTAAACATCAGTTCATTCCATTTGAAAGACGTTACTTCATTTATATCTTTAAAAATATCAGTTCGTTCCATTTGAAAGACGTTACTTCATTTATATTACTTAAACATCAGTTCATTCCATTTGAAGGACGTTACTTAAAACATCAGTTCATTCCATTTGAAAGACGTTACTTCATCTATATATTTACAACATCAGTTCATTCCATTTGAAAGACGTTACTTCATCTATATATCTACAACATCAGTTCATTCCATTTGAAAGACGTTACTTGATCTATATTTCTTAAACATCAGCTCATTCCATTTGAAGGACGTTACTTCATTTATATTTTTTAAAACATCAGTTCATTCTATTTGAAGTACGTTACTATAGTTATATTAGAGGCAATTTAAAAAAATGTTACCAATACCTGCAAATAGAAACCTATTTCTGGACGGACAATAAACATATTTTTAAGGGGAAAGTCATACTTCGTAATTAATTTTTATTGTTAGATACTGTAACTCCGTTGTATAATGTGTAGAGGAAATTTAAACTATACAATTATGTCTTTTAATCATATCCAGTTTCGTCGAATATGGACATAGAGACTTTTGACACAGACAGCGACAGATTTATTACTGAAAGACGTTAAGGTTGCCTTGGAAAAGCAACTATTAACTTAAGCTGTTTTTAACTTCAACATCAGAGATTATTTTTTTAAGCAAACATTCGTCGTCATCTAGCAGAATCTTTATTTGGAATAGGTGCTAGCAAATGACGGCTTCTTAGAGAATCTTGTCAATCGCTGAATTTAGTAACTCTGAGCGCGCAATCGCCGACAGTAAATCAGTTGTTCATATTTTACCATGAAAATTGATCTTGACATAATCGACTGAAATCTATGAAAATAAATAGTTGATCAGTGAAATGTTCATCCTTTCATGTCGACTGTGAAAAATTCCATAGGATGATATGAATTATAACAATAAAAAAACCCTCAATTTTATCAAATCTCATGTGAAAATCCTGACTTAGCGTTGACATTTCTTGAGCTGCCTTAAGGAAATAGTAAAGGTAATAGCATTTTTAAGATTCTGAATGATATACTTGCAACTACCTTCGGTAAACTTAGTATGCCTAGCGAACCTACCATTCAGTACGTCTTAAAAAGCCATCAATATAATGAAAAGCTGTCCTTCTGAATCGCATTCACGAAACTTTTAGGTAAATATTGAAAAATCTTTAATCATAATATCAATTAGGACGGACCGATATTAGTGGTAATTGGTAATTTAAAGAAATCCTTTCATTAATGAAGATACTCATAAAACATCGGGTCGTCTCATTAGAGACATTAGTTCATCTTAGTTCATCTTGCTTCATCAGAAACAGAATAGCAATCTGTGGAAAATACGTGTCATTTAGTTGGCTTCTTCGAGTGTTCGATGTAGACAGTTGCTGACCTTACCAATTGTGTGTAATCATTATGTCTGTCTATAATATACATTCTTATACAGATTGTAGCTCTATAACTTAAATGGGTCAGAATAAGGTGCAGAACAACAAAGCACTGCTGTGAATTTTGACACAGTACTTCGACGTAAAATTTGTACATGTAAAACGTACATTTGCAGTTTATGTTAATGTTGTCAAGTACATGATCTCAAGATGTACAGGCTACCGCAGAAACATATAAGTTACACAATACTTTAGATGTACATTTTGTTCGAGTATACATACACACTTATAGTACTAGTGTATCAAATGGACGAATTAAGCTTCATTGATCAACCATTCAATACATGAGCACAAGATGGTATTTCCCGAATTTTAATTTATAACTTGATTGATAACTTTCTTACCTTGTTTATCAGCTGGTTCCTTAATGAAAACTTTATACGGATGCCTGGAAGTTAACAAGAATTAATCAAGCATTGATTCTGGACAATATTCAATTCAAAGACCAATTTCCACTGCCTTACTGATACATCATAACTGTAATCATAACGTGAATATACAGCTTCCATATGTATACCATGGTTTCGAAAAGAGTCGAGTAAAATCGTCTGTACATCCATTTACTTTAGGTTATAACACTAGTAAAAATATTCACTTACGTCTCGCTATTAGCTGGCATTGTCGGCGAGAGAGATATATGAGCGTCATTTCCATCCTTTAACCAAATGGTGGAATGTCTGAAATAAATATCGTTCAGATTGATTTATTTTACAACAAAAAAATTGAGCAAACCCAGACCCTGTTTAATTTAAGGACAAAATTCGAAAAGAAAAAAAAACTGAAAGTATACTGTAATAGATAACTGTAATAGATCATTGGAAAATATATCATTAAAAAACCTAAAAACAAAAAAAGCAATGTGCATTATAAACCAGCATGTTTTCTATAGATTTGAGTTACTTATATTGGCTAGAATAAATGTTGGCCATATACATAAATATATGTAACTTCCATCCCATGTATGGATTCAGGTCAAAGTGTTCAAAGCCCCATCTGTCACAAAAGAAAATGGTTGTAACAATCTCATCCTTCGGAATTCACAGACCAGCAAATCAACTTAGTTTTCAATAGCTTGTCTAAGGACATTTATTGTTTCTAGAACGTGATCTTCCTGAAACGTCTTCGATCGTTAATCCCCAAGACCAGAATAGATTAATTCAGCGACACAAAAATGGATTGCTTCATTATTTTGTCTATATCCGACCTAAAGATCCAATGTAAGCTACTTAACAAACACAATTTAGTCTACATAATACTGACCAGATTCTTGTTAAAGCGGTCACCAACGTTAAAAATAGAATGCAAATTTGATTCATACTCGCAAGATGCTTCAAATCGACATTACAACTATTTATCAGACCAAAAATATGATAGATACGCTGGCAGATAACAGATCACTACTAGACCACTCGTTGCATTGTAAACCTCTGTTGCCTTGAACACATAAATCACTGTAGATGAAGTCTTATGGCGAATATTTAAAAATAATATTGATAACCAGACAATATTACAAAAATAAAGGTTAATAAATAATACAAAGGCTTAAGATAGGAACTTTTTTTTTAACCATGTCGGCTGATTGTTTTTTATTATATCATATTTTCATATATCATTTATCTATGATTTTATTTGACCTCATTACGTAATTGCGTTAAGAGCGGCTATAACAATCAATTTCAATGCAGTATATTGATCATTTAATTGTCCTGAAAAATGGATTATTGTATTTGGATTTAATGGTATTTTAATGTCTGTGATTTCTATAAAGCTCCTGTCGTAGACCATTTGCAGAAGAATTTTAGCAATTAGCTTGCATCTGTAAGTTAAATCTACCATAAGCAATACTGATCGATTCACCAGCCATTTACGAAACCAAAATTCAATGTCTTACGACATATCTCTTCATATAATGTAAAATGCATGATTATGGTTCGAATAGACGAGATACGGCATATAGTTCGGTGTATGGCGGTGGCTTGAACATGATACTGTGACTGTTATACGTTTTCCTTCGAAAAATGAGAAAGTATGCCTATGCCTATAACAAAAAATTCCATTCATTCTAGTCTGTTAACACACTATCAGACTTAATTCTTTACGTTATTTATAAATCATGTCATTTCAGAATGACCTATTTTTCATGAGTTATTTCCCTTGTTCTCTGAAATGCTTTTGATGTTGATCGTGTCAACAATGATAGCAAGGGCGAAACTTATGAATTATTATAATTATCATTTCTTCACGAGCTACTTCTAATGTTCTGTAAAATGCGTTTGATGTAATCAACAACGTAAAAATCACAACACATATTTTTTGACGAAACTAATTGTTGGAATTATATATATTCATCCAAGGTTGAACATTATCAAAATAACGCATTAAAATTACTTAATGTGTTTCATGACATGCTTGCGTAAGGCACAGTTTCAAAATAATTTAACATGAGTTATTGACTTGTTTGTTAACAGGGATAAACCCTATTGAAAAATGACAAAATAATACATTAAGTTAACAAAAGAATTAAAAAAGGAAAGTAATATTTCAATATTTAAAGGGGAACTGTCTGCAATAACAAAATTAAAAGTTAAATTTCAAGTTAGTCGATCAACGTGTTTGAGCCACAGTGATTGACAAGAGACACCAATATTTACGTCACTGTGACCATTTTCATAGATTCCATCGCACAATTATGAAATATTTATCGATAATGTTTAAACATGTCATATTTACCTTCTGTTGGGTTTCAACCTGGTTGAATTGACAATATCATGAGTAAATTAAAAATACCCTTTTGATAAAAACACATTAAATTTTACACACTTTTCGCTCTTTTTTTTTTCCACGTAATATAAATTTCGTCGGTATTGTCTGGACTTACGTCACAAGACAGACAAAAATGTGCAACCCCGCACAAGAGACTAATGAAAAAAGCCTATGGCATTAATGATGTCATAAATCTAAAATGTTAAAATTTGTAACTATAAAAGCTGCAAAAATGCCCTACAGTGACCGAAATTCATATTTCACTGTCTCTGGCAGCATAAAATACACACTAGAATAAATCAGACTTAATCGAACACTTCCCTCCGGCAGTGTTCGTCATTAATGCGACGCATTATCTCAAAATAACTCTGTTAGCCTTTCTTTAATGCCATTTCCAGATGCTATTTTGACATTAATGGAATAACACACGTAGAGTCGTTCTTGACATGTTAAAAAGATTAATTTACTTTCAAGCAATTGATATCTAACTTTACGAAATAATAATACTGTTCTCAAAAGAATGCTTTAATAAAAGGATTATGCGCCAGCTTCAAAATAACATAAATTGTGAAATAAATCTGTTTAATGGTGACTTTTTACAAAAAAAAGATGACTTATAAAATAGATTAGAACATTCATTTATACTATTACATAGGTATTCCAAACGAGCAAACCGGGCTTAAGACTTCCATCTCATCCGAACAACTAAACGCTTTTTGGTGCCTGCTGTTGAAATTTGTAGAACCCCTCTTATCAAGAAATTCCATATCAAAATAACCTTTACACCGTACCTTGCAAGGGACAGGTTCACCATTCTGATTGACAAATCATACTTTATTCTCAGAAACGAAAACTTTTTAAGCTAAGCCAATGAGCAACAGTGTTCACAGCTCAAAGTCGAAATCTAAGCTTTCAAATCCATGTGTGTTCAGAATTATCCACGTTTGACAGTTATAAATACGACATGTCTTCTCTTGAGCCTCTTGTCATATATAGAAAAGATATATAGAAATATACATTGTTATTTGTATGAAGACTATTTACATTTATTGTATATTCAAGACCTAAATCAAGTCAAGAAAATGGCAAACCTGCCCCTTCCGTGTTAAAATGTTGGAATCTTGAATTAGTAATATTACGAGGTGTAAATACTCTATACCTAAATCTATATTATTGCTAAGCCTATTGATAATGTTCAAGGTTGCATTTTTTCAATATTCCATAACGTTGTTGATGACAGTCGATCTATTACGTTGCCATGGTAAAAGGGTAATGGGATTAATAACTAATAATAATATCATCAAAGGGTATATGTCAAACACAGTATGGTACAATTAATTACTACCTTAACGGCTGATAAAAATTCTTCTCGACAGTCCATTTGCCAATTTTTATGACTACTTTCCACTCGATTGAAATTTAGACACTGCTTAATGGAATCGATACTTTGTCTACAGTGTGACCAACAAATCGTCTACGTAGACTTTATTAGTAAGATTCTTCCACTAAGACAAGAAAAATAATTTTATTCCGCGTCAATACAAGAGAAGCTTAATAAGAAACCAAACCAAGTCCTTTCGTGCGGATTTTAACTATTTTACTCTAAGGAAAGAGATTTCTGAGATAATGAACAGACGCGAGAAAAGTCGCCCTGATCTCTCATCAAAGCCTACACACAATTATATAACCCAGGCAAATGTAAAGATGTCGGTTTATTTTAATCCCATTTTCTGTCTCTTCCTGTTCATAAAGCTCGTCAAAGGCATTAATAATGACATGAACTAAAAGAAAAAGTAGAAATCGAGGAGCAAAACAATCTTCTCCGATTACAGCAACATGAAACTAATATTTATATAGAGGGTATATTCGAAAGGGATGAAGTTGACATTTTTTTCTTATACATTTATTTAAATGTAAATTGAATTGGTCAAGCACCTTTTCATATTCACAATGTCAACTACGTTTTAAACCTCGACTGCAATACGGATTGCAAGCCAGCAAATACAATAAATACAATCAATCAGAGCTCTCGACGGAAAGACTGAAGGCTATGATTTACTTGATTTCTCTTGAGTGTGTGTATTCGTCAACGTAATCCAGTCAAATCCATGCATTAACAACTTTGCGTAATACAATGTGGCTATTGCAGTCAAGGTCTAAGAAGTTCGTAATACCTTGGCATTGTGAAGATGGGACCTTTTATTACTTGATATAAGTAAGTATTCCGTTATCAAATTTCTCCATCTTGTTATTTAATAATTGATAAAGGAATTAAGTCACTCAAATGGGATGTTTTTTTTTTGCAATTCGGTTTCCCCTTGTCTTGTTATCCAGGTAGGAGAAATTGACGTCATCAAAGCATTTAGTCTTACGGATTTGGTAATAGAATTTCAAATCCGGTTTACCCTTGCCAGTGATCCAGGTCGGAGGGACTGATATTGAAAAACGTCTAGTTCGGAAAGAAATATTTACTTTCAACCTGGGTTAGAGGGCCGTGTCTTAAACCATAAACCAGTGTGCTGCAAGCTGAGCAGGTTGAAGATTCCTCGCCAGTTGGACAAAACGAGAAGGCTAATGCAACTGTAGTTTTCATTTACCTAATCAAGTGCAAAGAAGTAGGCCGTAAAACATATTGTATTATTTGTCATAAATACACTTTTTATCACTTGAAATAAGTAAGCATTTTCTGTCTGATCCTTATCGAAAATTCATTATTTATCCCATATGCCAGTATCTGTCTGATCCTTATCGAAAATTCATTATTTATCCCATATGCCAGTATTGCGTAAATACAGTGAATATCCGAGGGACACGATATCAATCAGAGAGATTATTACTAGAGAGAGTTATTGTCACTTTACTATCATATTTATATATATTTAAATAGATAGCGTGAATGACAAAGATAAATACGCCAGTCAGAAACCAAAATTTGCTTATATACACCGTTCTCTCATTGCTCTGACATTCGACTTTCGTGGTGTTAAGTAATATTTACAGCAAAATTTTCATGAGTTAACCGATTGAAACACCGAACACTAAGGGCTAAGCTGTTTTCGTTGGTTAACGAATGAAAACGTGCTATAAAAGTATTAAACAATATGAATGACAAAGGTTTGACAGATGGGAGAAACTTCCTTGTTATGTGTTGCATGTGCAACTCTGTATTTTTGATTCTAAGCATATGGTTTTTCTTAAGATTAATTATGTACCAGAAGTCAGAAGTCGTTGCTACCAGCCAGATATGCATAGGTCTTTTGAAAAGCGTTATTGACAAATCACATATAGGCTTTGTTTACATGACCTCATTTCTGTTTACATTTGTTTACATGACCTCATTTCTCAGATACCCACTACAAGCAACCAAATAATATTTTTATGTAAACGTATTTAAAAATCAAGTACACCTTAGGGTAATCATAGTTGTATAATATAAACTAAGCCTTTTTTTACGTCACTAAGATCTTTTGCCGATATCTACGTCATAAAATGCTTGGTTTAGTAGAATTGGTTTAAAAACCCTTACAGAATTAAGAGAGTATTTCATGACAAATATACGAAATTGTGGACCACACGAATTTGTATGAAAGTCAACGAATTTCTTAACTTAATGTCATGTCTGACTCAGTGGTTGTTTATTTCAGCCAAACTTATTTATAATAACTAAAAGCAAGGCTTAAGTAATCTAATTCTCACACAGTGAATACTGTCTAATAACCAATACCATTAAGATTAGACCAGTGAACTATACATCCGCCAAAATGGTAGAACAAGGAAGTACTTGTACTGTATGTAAATAACGTATGATGGAAACTAAATCCTCTGTATAACCTCTCTTCAAAATCATAATATGACCATGTTTTCATTACCCAAAATCGCCCCAAACCTATCATTATTATTTGGAAGCTCATACTCGTAGTAAATAAGAAACTTCAATAGGGTTGCAATATAGATGTAAATTTGGAACGCTTTATAGGATATGAACTTGTATGAAAGAGCTTTTTTGCTTTTGCTCTTCTTTGACAAAATTACAGTCGGAATTCTTCATGGGTTTAACACTATGTAATATTTAGAATGATTTCTGCAAAGGTGAATATGGGTATAACATTGAAAGCTATGAAGAAGACCATCATGTATGTTGAGGAAGACGGGATAGTAATAGTCCAATATTTTGTTTAAGAAATAATTACTTAAATTGTGTGTTCGAGGAAAACAATGGTCTATTTATCAGCAAGTTGTTGTTGTACCGTACATGGATAACTTAACATGGAAGCCAAATAGAATTTTACGAGAAATGTAAGTGGAGCTTAGATATGCTACAGCCAGTTAATTTTGAATTATTGGATGACTGAAGCCCCACCGCTTTCGTTTCTGGTAGTCGTAAACACCGTGATATATTATAACTCACTTGCTTATTGCAGCTGCTGTTGCTATTAATTCATGTATATCTCTGGAACTACAATGTCGGCTGAATACAATCTGAAAATGATACAAAAAGAAAACCGTTAATGTAAATAGAAGTTAATTGTGATAATCATTGAGACAATTATAAGACGACTGGAATATTGAAGCAATAAAATAACATCACAGATTGACATAGAATAGAGTTACATTTTTTAAAACTTGTAAACAGAATTTTATTTACATATATGCTGAAATAGTTCAGTTGTCTGAAGATTGCTTGACGTGAAATATTTATTTTGGATTTGTTGAAATCATTGCCTTTTCTTAAAATCTTGTTATTTAATCAAAATGGATATTAACTTGTTCTCAAGATCTTGGACTTTGCTCCATAACAAAATGATGAACAAACATTGCCTTCTTCCGCGAGAATTTAGATCTACGTCTAAATTTGAAATATGTCGTACAGAGAAAACATACATTTATTTTGGCACTTTAGCATTCTGAACTTTCGACAGACATGCTTATAATAGAAACCTGAAGTGATTAATGACCTTCAGTTTCATCTTCAGGCCATCATTAATTTCCGTTTTTATCTATTGGTAGCAAAACGCTATTTCTTTAAGGAACTTTCTGAAAGTACTTGTGAACATGAAGAAGCGAAGTTAATGCATTTCTTTCTTTACAGTGATAATGAAGGTAATAATGGTATTAAAAATTTATAATTCTATTAAAGAAAAAATTAAAATCAATTGATGGTGATTATCTAGAATAATATTTGATTTTCAGTGATCATAAAGTACGTTTGGTTTTGAAGGGAGTACACAGAGAAACTTCTTAATGAAATAAAGAGTTGCACAATCTGTAACACAAGGGGCTCAGCATATTGTCTCATCTGAACGACTAGACTCAGCCCCTCCAACTTGTATTACTGGCAAAGGGAAATCAGGATTTTTTTTTGATTTTTCCCATTTTCTCTTGTACAATACATTCTAAGACTATCAGTACTAGTTTGAGACCATTATTCCAAATCTCTTTAAACCAATCGAACAAATTCAAAAACAACTTTTGATTTGCTCAGACAATTCATTTAAATGGAACAATAAACAAGGGCGTCGTTTCTGAATCATTTGACAAATGGAATCGAAAAAAGGTTTTGTTTAATGTCTTGTAAAAGTTTCTTCATTGCAAGAGAAGGACACGTTCTTTGCACTGGCATTCAAGCTTTTCATAAGAGGAAAGGAAATTATGGCAATAGAAAAAATGTGTAATTTGCGCGTCTTAGTTCCGGCTTCCGGCTGAGGATAAGTCCTTTATGAATTGGAATAAACCATACTAACAGTATAGTTTAAAATGTGTTATTGAGAATGTAATATAAATACAATATTATACGGAAACAGCCAGGTCATGGTCGATAAGCTAAGTTAATGAGCAGAGGACAATATGTTCAGAAAGTTTCTCAACCAAATTAATGAGTCGATAACTGATTAGTTTTCCCCATTAATTGATTTGTCTAACATCTCTCAATCGAAGCCAACATTAAACAGTATCTCATAAACAAAGCATAACAAGTTCTCATGTGTTTATTTTCTTTAATCACTTTCTTTTCTTTGAGTTTTATTCAACAATGGAAACCGTCTTGCCTTTATCAACAAACGTCAGCCACAATCTAGAATGGTCCAGGATAGATCATAGACTTAGTAAGAAACGTCTAAATCTATGAAGTAGAAGGTATAGTTGTGTCATAGTGGAGTATTTATTAAAGGAAAATGTGGCAAATCTCCAATGGTTACCCAAGAGCGTTTTAGTTCGAATAGACAAGGTTCGGTGTATGTATAATGTTCTACTATAAAAACAATTAAAAAATTTAAGAATTCAAATGATATAGTCTAAATTTTTAAAGCGACCGACTGGAGATATTTTGTCTCCTCGTGTCCTCCAAACCGATTAATGAAACTTTTGACAAGACCAAAACCGCAGACCAAGACCTTCGTGTGCACTCACAACCTATAACGTTTTAACACTTTTAAGTTAACAGTGTGTACCTGTAGCCTTTCTTATAATTAAATTGGCAGTGACCTTTATTTATTTATTTTTTATTATTTCATGTCTCCTTACTATTTCACGTTGTCTGGCGTCAATAACTATGCAAAACGTGGGGTTAATATAACTGTAAACTATACATTTTCACTTGAATTTTTATTAGTCTGTCGAATCCATGTCAAAAGAATTGGTCGCGATAATAACTGTAAATAATCTTATAACCCATTTCGAAAGGAAAAAATACCGACTGGAGAGTAAACTGAAACCCTATGCTTTAGTTTGTACACGTTAAAGATCTCTCAACAGATCGAAAATGACTATGCAAGGACCACAGTCCTGGAAAATAAAATCCAGTCATTGCCCTTATATCTCGTCTTCGTTAGCCTGATCATGTGCAAAAACATAGGATGTAAAACTCACATTTCATTTTATGGATATATAACGATACAACAGCATCATAATAAGTAGCAATTAGTAGCCAGATGTGAAGGTAAGCTTAATAATGGACAGATTCAAAATGAATTAATGATAAACTAATGGGTCTAATTTAATGCGTATTAACTATATGTAATTACAAGAACGATTCTACATACATCGCATGTTATCATTGATGGATATGTCTCAAGAACTTGGGTCCTCGGTGAATCAGACTTAAAAGCACAGACATGATTTAAAAGTGATTGTAAAAAGGTCTTCGAAAAATATTAAGTATTTAAGAATCAATGAAAGCAACATTCCAATTTTTATTCATACGTCTGTGGTTCTTGTAATTCCACTTCAACTGTGCGTTTTATGATGTCACTATCGCAAAGGTCATTACATGTTAATAGCAGCTAATTTTTGGTGGAGTTGCAAGTGCCGCAGACTGGCGGAACATGGTGAAAATTGATATTAGTTTCTCCGAAACACATAAAGAGTACAATCACTTCCGGATGTATGCAAGATACTGTTACTTAGATCGTAAGAAATATTCCACATTGACACTTATCGGTCTTAAGAACACGGACGCTGATATCAAAGAGAGGTATTGTGCTATAAACATCATAAAAAAAGCTTCCATGTGCTAAGAGACAAACTGTGCTGTTCGATTATGTGATTAGTAGATCGCCTTGGATACAAAAAATATCTTAAATAAGGGGAGGGTACCAGCTGAATTTTTACACTCCCACATAAAATGGAGCGTAAATTTGCGTCGCCCTTGTTCGTCCATTGGTCGGTCCTCCCTTCCACATTTTCTCGCAAAAACTCTAGAAAGCACAATATTGACGGAATTACATGAAACTTGGTGAAATTGTTTATTATCACCCCAGGATGAACACTATTGAAAATCAGAAAATTCTAAAAGTATGAGTAATTGCCTTTGTTCTTGAAAGAGCGTTTAATTTTTAGCTTCTAACCATTCTAGAATGCACAATTCTAGCCAGATTTTGACTGGGTAACATTGTTTATTATCACGCAAAAAAAGAAAGAGGGATATGACGGAAATATTAAATTTTAATACTGGTGATTGTCTCCTACTGTCAAGTATTCTTATTTAAAGTCACAGCTACTAGTCGATGTATATTACCTTGTCTTGTAAGCTATCTTTTAAATTCAAAACGTCAAGGGTTATAAGGCATGTGTCTTATTTAGCATAAACGAATTGCCTAAGTTGTATTTGTTACTCCCGATTCTCCGAACACCTGCTTAAACCTAATATGACTTGACACTTAATTAGCAAGCTTAATTACTGACGCAAAACAAAAGATAAATGACTTTTACTTTTCTATTCTTAGATTATGATATTCGTCATGGTATATCAAACATCAGGTCAATGTGGATAATTGCCACGTGAAATTCTCAGGACAATGCCTTATTTTATAATATTTTATATAATGTGTATATCAATGCTTATATTCCTATGTTACAAATCATATACATTTAAGAATTGCTTTATTAATAAAATATTAACCAAAAAAAAAAGAAAATAATTATAAAATATTATAGAAATTACTTTAGAAGAATTGATTAAAATTCGGAAAAAAAGAGAGCAAAAACAACTACATTTTACAAGGATAACAGCTTAAGGATCCTTTCTTCCAATTGGTCCTTGGCCAAACCTCGTCATTGATCTTTCCCAGAGTATCTGTACCGATTGACAGCAATGTCCATTGGAATTATGAGTGAAGATGACTAATTCAAGAGCAATTACTGAGGCAAACGTAGTTTGATCTTAGTTCTTCATTCTGCTCCATAACCGGAAGATACATGAAGCCTTGTGTTTTTTGGTTTGTTTTTTCTGCAATAACCCAATCACGTTTACCACATATTAGTTGACAAAACTTTCATCAATGTGTCATGTGCAAATCCAAACAAGAAAATAGTTTCTCATTGGGCCATTTTAATTGCATAGGTTTGTAAATTTTGAAATGATTTAGTAAAGAATTGCAAATAATTTCATCTGGTCTACTTGCCAAGTCTTTCAAGCCAGAAACAAGTTTTCAATGTTAAATTCAAATCAAACATTCTTTTCCTAAGAATTGTAGATTGGCGCCAGATGGTCTGGAACAGGAAGGGTATGCCTTGGATTTCTAGCGAAACCAGTCTCGAACCATATTGTATCGGAGCTTCACACAAGTCTCAAGATTTTAAATATCTTAGTGAAAAGAGCCAAATGAAGTATGGCCCAGGGAACACTCCCGTGGACAATCAGTGTCATTAATTCCAATATACAATTTAGTCGAGTCAACTCCTACTGATTTTTATGTCATTGTTAAAAATAGACCAGTTCTTACAAATTTTCTGAACTGAATCATACAATTTTCATCCACAAAGTGTGATCTAAGTAAATTTTTTTTCAGAAATTAATACAAATGTTGAAGCGTTTCTAAAGAGGCAATAATACTCTTTACTTTACTCTGAAGTTTACATTCAGTATTTCAATAGTATTTTATCATCTCTTTAACGGTATGCTCCTTTTCCTGGTCTAAAAGCTAAAAGCTTTTTAATGGGAAGCCATCTCTTATAAATCAAACTAATAATGTCGCATTAATTTTCAAAAGACCTAGCCTCCTTTTTGTCTTTTCTAATCACAAGGGAACTTCCGAGAACTGTAATCAAATCAAATATATCGAAAATAAAATCATTAACGGCTTATACGTACAAACGCATGGATGAGGGCATAATTTCATTTCAAATCTTATATTCAGGAAACTGTGATGTCTGAATTTAATTTTCATGAAAATAATAGTCATGAACTCTATAATTTAAATTTTTCGGCTCTCATTCATTAACAAGTTATTAATTCTGCTAAATTCGCCAAATAAAGCCTCCGGATGCATAAAATAAACATATTTCCCTCGCAGGATTTGAAAGTGACCCTTATTATATCTAAATTTTAACTTTGACTGTCATTTCATCAACCCCAAGACAATCTAAGAATCTCAATACCACATTCAATTCATAGAAAAATGCAACTAAGAAAAATTTCTAATTTTCTTTTGCAGTTGGTCCTGATAATCGTACTTAGTATAGTGTCTAACCCCTATAAATACAAACGTACTTGGCGCCCTACTTGTAAAAAAAAAATTCCACAAAGAGTCAAAAATGGTGGACCCTGCACATACAAGATTTGGTAATCTGGGTCTGATGTGCTATGAGTAAAGCGGCCATATCAGGACCGAGACTACACGACTTGAGAAGCTCCTATCATATTTGCATTGTCAGGCCCATTTACATACAGACCTGGTCGCTCAAAATTTAATATTTGTCAAAAGGTGTATAATCCACTGAAGATTTGATTAATAAGTATATGTTAATAATTATAAAATCGGATGGTACTGTCTGAACCTATGCGGTGATTGATCATCGCAATATCGAGCACATTAACAATACCAATACATCATCTCGTCCTGAGGTGGAATATTTTCTATCCGTCGGATAAAATGTGAACTTCAAAAAGTAGGAATATTGTCCATCTTACTTGACACGAACTCTCTGACTTAGACATCATTAAATTCAGAATTAGCCCAACTAATATATCTTTCGTGTCGCAGTCACGTCGAAGAAAAGATATGATGCTATAATTTTACATTGATTTTTTTTCACACTAGCAGCTTTGCATAAGTCTGTAAATAGATTTTGTTTTCTTCAAATTTTTTTTGTATCTAAATGAGTATTCGGACGATATTGAAATGAACTGGTTTTTCATTACATATAAAGCATGTAGAAACGGCTTTGAATCTTATTTTCACTGATTAAAATAAAGATTCAGATGTTTTGTTTCGTGTTTTCTCTTCAGCTTAACTGTTGCCATCCATGATCTGAAAAGATTCTTCGTAAATCCGTGTGAAATTTTGACCAAATTGCATCAAAAAGAATTCCTAAAATATAGCAAGAAAATCTTGTCTTCAACAGAGCATTTGATTGGTTGAACCTAAAATGACCCAGAAAAAGATATGAATTACAAATTCATAAGATCATGGGGCACGTAACGAATATCCAGAATTTCATTATAGTCAGATTGTATATTTGATACTCGTCAATATAATATTGAACTGATTTTTTGTTTTCTACGCTTAGAGCTAAGGCCTTCTTACAAGGCTATGTTCACCCTTAGTTACAGCTGGATGTTTATAATCATACTACGAATCCAAATAGAATTAACAAGCTTTCATATAGGATATTGTTTTTCGTTTATATCTATCAAATGATTTTGTAGCTGCTTTTCTGGAATTCAAATACACCCTTTTTTTGTCTTACATCAGAATATTTTCACTTAACGTTTGGTTACTGCTTTTAAAGGAAACAAAAATAATTTACTTGTCCATGGCAAATTGGACCCCATTCCATAAACTCTCTGATACAATTGCAAAATGTATTTTTGTATTATTTGTAAAGATCGTTGAATCCGACTCTCAATATTGAGTAATGAATATCACTCGTGTATTGATGTAATATGACTTTATAAATTTTCTATGTAATTCTGTATCTTTGATCTATAATTGCAAATATTGATAAAAATAGAACAAACCTTTGAAATATGTTATGTATTGTGTCATTTTTTTTATTGAATTAAACTTGAATTATGATCAAAGTAAAATGTGTTTATTATTTCTTGCGGCTAATGACAAACTCGTCGCGAAGAAAGATAGCAATCATGTAATTGCAGACGGTACATCTTCATATTTGAAGTACACGTTTTAGATCTATGATCAAATAATATTTCTAAGAAAAACAATATATATATAACTGACCTTTTCTGTTCTATCGTTGATAATCAAATAAATGGTCTTGGAAGAATCAAATGACGAACCATTTCCCATATTGGAAAAATTAAAGTCCCTTCAACGTGAAAAAATAATGTTTGTTTCGTCAATTGCAAGTTCAGGTAAATATCGTCATTCTAACCTGTCATGTAAATATTACTCAAGTGAATGACACTCTCCTATACTGCCAGTGTCAATATTCCAATACACGAGATAAAAATCATTATCCTCATGTTCAGTAATCACGCATGCGATGTCAAAGATGTTTACGTGAGTTGCCATGGAGATGGTTTGGCGTGGAGATAGTGACAATCAAGCACCATTGAAATGCGATGTTGTATAAGAAATTATGTATGTATTCGTCGATAAATTCAGTTAATTATCGCTAATTTCTGGGCATTTCACAGGAATACATATGCTGCTAATTACATTCAGATGTGTGAAAGACGCAAAAATAGATGATGAAATCACTGGAGTTTCCCAACCATAGAACCATGATGAATGGAACAAAATAAGGAAAACGCAACTAATAAATAATGTACGCTTTTAAAATGAAATTCTTGTTCAAATCATGCTATAGCAGAAGAATAAAGAATTAAATTAGTTCTTATCATATTGTTATTGAATAAATATAACATCGGTGGGCTGCCGCCATCCACTCTCGAATATGTCAGGAATTCACAGTAATTATATCAAGGGACATTATTCCTGATTGAAATATCATAAATGTGTCAAATTTTTCTTGAGTATCCCAGAGGTGATCAAATGTACAAACGTCATATTTTTTTTAACCAATCCTGTCCGTATGTGCCCATCCTATTCTTGATTAAAGATGTCCTAGTTTGTAGACAAACGAACTAGAAAAAGGGAATTTATTTCTTTAAATTCAAGTATAGAAAACTTCCGCAACATATTACACCACAATTCTTCCCCAAGATGCATGTCATGTAATCTTTCTTGAAAACGTTTTTATAAATACTAAGAAAATAGTTTTATTACAATTTTTCAATTAAATAAATATAACAGTATGCAAGTAACAAGGCCATATATCGGCATCATCAAACCTTTCATTGGGTTGCCTGTTGAAGGTTGGCTGGCTTCAGTAGTCTTGGCATCACGACGATGGATCGTCTTTTTACAAATACCAGATAGAGGTCCTCGTCCTGCAGGATAATCTACTGGCTTGTGTTGTTTACCTCTCTGAAACAAGGGCGGATGTGAACCATCAAAGTAGGAAAGGGCCACTGATTGATAGCCAGAATCCTTTACGAAATCAGAAAACTGGGTTATAAACCCCTCTTTCGTCGGATCTCTGTACTCAAGAGTTCCTGATATAAATAGATTAAATCGGTTATTACAATCAATTAGCATCAAGGAACAGTTTAAGAGTCTTCCGCTGCTGCAGACGAGATGGTCAGCAGAATTAATCCACACACGAAAGGTTCCAAACGCTTTGTTATAATAATCTCCAGCGTATTCGGTGAAATTTACTCCACAGTTTGGTTGTTGAAACTTTGACGTAGTTGTAGTTGGTGGGCTGGTTGTTGGCTTTTTTATTTCTGGTTTCACCCATGGTGCGGGAAAGGTACATGCTGTAACGTTTGTCAACCAAGGTTTTTCACCTGAAATTTTAAGACGGGATAATAGCTAACAGTAAAGCATCTTAATAAAGTTGTAGTACATTCCAATTTACAGGGTATATTTGATACTTTGATATCGTAATTTAGAGTCAAATTTAAATGTTCATAAAACACACTTACCATTTGTTTGGGTTTTTTTTTTATTCAACTTGCACACAACCCCCACATCCCCCATTTTCCAATCGTAAGAAACATCTGAAGCTATTAAGTGCTGGAAAGATCTTTCTTATTACTCATCAATAAAGAAAAAGCAAAAGTCTTAATATAAGTTGCAAAATTGTTTCTAGGACCTTATGTTAGTTGAACTTCTTTAAATTTAACATTTGGTAATTTTACCGCTTACCTAAAAGCAAGTCTAGAGCAAACCAGGAAACCACTTGATTAGCCGTGTATCCGTCAAATCCACTTGCTTCACAAACCCACACACCTACACCAGCATCTGGTAAGAAGGTATTTCTGCAGGTATAGCTACTGTATGAACCAGTATGTTCAACCTTCTTATGACCTGAAGTGAATGCAAATGGAATAGCTTGAATATATTTAATTCAGAAACGTTTAGATTATTTTAACACTGAGGACAAATTTTGGTCGATGTTCTTATTTTGGTTGGAGTTTTAGATCTTATGTGTCATATTTCCTTAACGGTCGAGACAGATTGTTACGGTTAATCCGGGAAGGATAAACGCCAAGGATCGGTTGCTACACAGGATTCTAAAGTTCAGATTGTTCTTGTCCTGGGCAAATAAAAATGGATTCGTATTATCTGTTTATTATTTAGTTTAAGAAGACATGGCACCATGAACTATTCAATTTTTAATTGCTCATGTCGTACGTTGTACTGTTTTTGATTTGCAACTACATTCGGCATGAAATCGTAGAACAGAAATTAATCGAATGCTACCTCTATAATAGCCTGTTCGCCAGCCCATACCATACTCATCTATGGAACTTTGTACAGGATAGATATCAGTCGTGTACGGTTCGTATGAAGTTCTATAATTGGGTTCGTGCGTCTCTATTAATTCTTTGGCTGAGATAACTTGATGGTCAGACTCATCCTGTAGAAATGACAATTAATTATCGACTTTGTTAACTCTGCCATCCGTGTACACGATCATATAGCCACTGTTTTGTAAACCTGTCAAGCAATTGTTATTTTAGATGTTATTTTGCATGTCCTGTAAAACGACTTTGTCCTCATTATTACGAGCATAAAGATACGTTTTTCGTGAGGAAAGGCATAAAGTGGATAAACTTGAAAGCAGAAAATACACAAACACGTTATTTTTAAATTCTAATCGAAATAACCATGGAAAGCAACGTTATCCAGTTGATAAAAACCAGTTAATTACTGACTGTTAATTGAAAAGATCAATTCACAAAATATTGTAAATTGCACTTTTCATCAAAATGGTGCGATTAAATTTTCTGACGTAGAACGAACCAAAACAAACATGTTAACTCCTAACTTTTGCAATTGTCAATTTTCCATCGACCTAGCACATGTGAGTATAATGGCCGAATAATCCATTATCATTAATAACTTCTAATTATCAACAATTTTTTCTTGTCATATTTCTACAAATTGTTGCATTAAAGGGATCGTAAAGAAGTTTTCTAGACTTTTTTTTTTTGTATCGGGGACACTTGATTCCAATTATCATTCCGACGTCTCTAAGACGTGTTATGACGTCACAAGAGGGAAACTGCATAGATAACAATAGTAGCTTCCTGTAGCTCCCATCTAGTGGCGTCATAAACACGTTAGTTTTAGTGGAATTACAAGAACCACATACGTCCGAATGAAAATTAGAATGTTGCAAATTGATGCTATCTGTGTGCCCGATACACATATAAAGTTTAGAAAACCTCTTTACAATACCTTTAAAGCGAGTTCGTTTTGGTCCATCAGTGAAAGAGGTTTCTCTTTTAAAAAAAAAGTATCTATAACCTTTCCATTGTTCAAATGAAATCGTAAATATTTAGCCATATCTTCAGCATTGCTGTATACACCACCAGCTGGACCTTGATTATCAAACATTCTATATAGAAAAAAAACGAAATGAGTTGTGCGACATACTTTTCTGCACCTGATTTGGCTTTTGAAAAAAGATAACGTCATGCATTGTGATATGAGGGGAATAGTGTATGTGCGCAGCCTGCCTTAGTTATTGTCCCATCTGACTAGTTGCTTTGCTTTTCATGTCAGTCCCTCCGACCTGCATCACTGATATGGGGAATCCGTGTTGAAAAATATGCCGGGATTGAACGTTGAACCTTCAGGTGGGCATCTCAGTAACTGTGCCACTGCGGCTCCAACTATTCTATAGGAGACAGACAATCATAAAGTAAATACAATGTTGCCACTATTCGTTAGTTTGAGAATTAATGATTGTGAATTATTGTGGTTAAAATGTATCAAATAATGGTTTAATTCACCCTCTATCTAATTTGAAAGATGGGTAAGACCGTACATTGCGCAAGAAGGGAAACCCAATCTTCAGCGTTCAAAGGACTAGTCGTTCCCTTCCATTTAATCTGCTTATCTGTCAGACGTAAAAATAAAGTTCTTTCAATGTGAACCGTGTTTGCATATACATCATTATTTTCAATCCAATATGTGCAAAAAAAGTTTTCATTTTAAATATCGCATTGGAGCTTGTTTAATTGACAAATTCAACCTTATATATTTTTTTTAAAATACATTACATGGCTTGCTCTTTTTCGGGATTCGCCACTGGTTTACCACCTATTCTTGTGTAAGAAAAGGCCGTGTTGTCCCAGTCAGCATCGGTCATTCTTGAGGCTATATTTGACTTACTCATCCCTGTAAAATACGAAAAAATGTCAAATAGATTAGTTGTCTGAAGATCTGAATACTCCCCAGTTTCCAACATGTTTCAGGTGATGTTTTAATATTTCTGAACAGTCCTAGATAGCAAAGCAACTCAATTCTATACAAATTATTGATGAACAAACTAATTAATTCAAAAAGGGTTTAAAACATTGTGTATCCGGAACGTTAAAAGCAAACTTCTACTGACAACTTCATATATAATTTCAGAACGTAATATAAAATACTTTTTGTATGTGTATCCTAGGACATATATAACTCCTATTTGCTTCACCGTATCATATAAATGTGGTTTCTTAAATGCTGCAACAAATACTTAATGTATATGTATCTGGTATATATTGTATCCTCCTCTTTACAATCCCTTTCACCTCCATTTCTACAACTAACAGATAAAGCTTTTGTGTCGCAACATGAGATGAGTCCTCGTCAATTAGCTACATACCCAGTGGTTTATAAATTTTATCAAATATAGCATCTTCCCAGTATTGACATGTTGCGATCTCTACCGCGGCTGCAGCTGACACTACCATTTGGTTACTATATCTGTATTGAGTTCTCAAGTCGCAAATGTTTTCATAAAACTCCAAGCGCCTTTTGAAAGAAATATTCATAAATGATAAATGAATGAATGGAAATTCAAAATACTTTTCTTTTTTCTTTTCAACTGAATTTTTTTGTAAAGTAATTTGCAGAACACTTTAATCAATTAAATCAAAACAACAAATGCACGAACGATCTGAAAAAGCACCTCAAGAACTTTTTATATGAGGAAGTATATCAATCATCAAAGAGAGAGTATAACATAATGAAAATTGGCATCAGGTGTCAAGATCTAGAAAATAATTGTTCATTGCAGAAGTACACCTGGTGCGAAATTAAAATGTAAACGACAAGTTACAATAACTTCGTCTCACTGTCAAAGTTCTTTTTCTTTGGATCATTTGTATTGGCTATTGTGGAGGAATTCTATTTGATTAATATTTTCATTATGAACTATCATTATACTTTGATACGCTTTAATAACAAATATTGAACGATAACGAGCACCCATGATCAACTGTATGGCAGGCTACCAGACTCGCTTTTAACAGACAGTAGAAAACGAGTAACTGAAGTTAATTACTGGAACTATGAGTTTTCTTCGCGATCAAATTGACCTAATCTAGCGACTGATCAGATACTTCCAAAAACCGACTGTTGCTAAAACTCGATAAAAACTCAGATTATCTCAGAAACTACCAACCATAAGGTCATCCCGACGCCCAGGCCATCCCACCTCCACTGTACTTACTTGATCATTTCTTGTCTAGTGATATTTTCAGCAACAGTTGTATCTCCCCAATATTCGGGAACACACATTTTATGACCCAACAAATCCCTGAGTGTTGCTTTAGCTGTTCTAAAATCGTCAGACAGCTTCAAATCTTTAAATGTATCTTGCAACGGCTGGTCCCACTGGATCTTTTCTCTTGAAACAGCATCGGCGGCGATTGTGGCTGTAAAGGATTTAGTTACTGATCCCACGTTGAACAGAGTCTGGCTGTCGACTGGATCTCCTTTCTCATATGTTTTTACTCCGAACCCTCCGGTAAAAACAGTCTGGGTATTGGACACCATGGCCAATGATAACCCACTGATGTTGTAACATTTTAAAACACTGTTAACAAAAGCTTTCACATCTGCTTCCGATATTTTAAATGCTGTGGCGAATGGTGTTGATTGTGATACGAGACAAAACGCTAACAGAACGAGCAAGCCCATCTTTTCCTCCAAATGATCAATTTAGCCTGAGTTATGTAGTTCAGCCCCTGAACAAACATTCCACTTTCACTATGGTTTTGAATGACAAGTGATAAAGGTTTATCTAGAAGATGTTGAATTCTCCCTTTTACGCACTCTAAGGGACTAAACTAGTGTATTAAGGCCCAACCCCTCGGACCATAAAAAATGCGCTTCCAGAATCGCCTTATGATGTATTCTCCGGCTTCTCATATTAGAAAATTTTCCAGGGAGAGACAACAAAATGTTTCTTTCTTTCCTGTGGCTTTATGATGGATAAGACAAAACACTCGTCACTAGTTAGTTTTTCCGGAGTGAACATTCCTTTTGTCAATCTCTCATACAGAGTTGTGGCTCCTTGCAGTACATAAAAAAGGACTGCAAGGAACGACAACTCTGTATGAGAGATTGCCCCCTTTTGTAAATAAAGACTAATAATAGACATTCTCTTGTGTTTATTATTATCATATAAAACATGACACTATTACCCTATATTTATAAAGTTACAACAAAACATCATATAAATCTATTACTACGTTACACATTGGAGGGGATGTGTCAAATATATACGATTTGAACGACAATTAACAATGGAGAGCACATATAACACAATGAGATATATTATGGTTAACACATTTCTTTATTAACAAAGTACATATGCCGACAGATGTAAACCGTGTTGAGACGTTATATACATTGTTATTAAAGAATTGTGTTATACCATAATCATGTGGGATTTTTTGGGGGATTTTTTTTAAGTTATTTGTTAAATAAAGTGTGTTAGGATAAATATTTGTGCTTGCCAAAAATCTGTCACATCTGAGAGCCGAGAATAAGCTAGATCCAGATAGAGATGTACTGCTAGGTGCGGAAATATCTACACAGTAGACAACAGGAGAAAATAGTGGATAGATAACTCGAGTATTCACTTTTTCTATTGTCTACAGCGTCAGTAATCCTACACTTAACACCCAGGTCCGTTAGTCAGAATTGCCCTTGCCCCCAGTAGCTACGGTCTGATAACACCGTACACTAAACCTCATCTATTTGCAGCTTCTTGATTGTTACTTATGTCTATAAGCTCATTTTGGCCTATAATGATTTATGTCAAATACAGTATTACATAATAAACTCACACAATCTCTTAACGTCCATAAGTGCGATTTTTCGATTATCCCTGTGCAGTCTAATAGAAAAATCCTAATAAAAATGCCGTGAGTGTCGCAACTAATATAGCTGCAATATTGGCTACTTTTTTAGAAAATTTGTTTTCAGCTAATGATGTCATCTTAGCCTTAATAAAGGCTTTTTCTTCTGGAGTAAGTTTGGGTTTTGGCTCATCTGAGATACCACATAACCAGTTATATACTTTCCTACCTGGTCCGGATTTTTCTAAAAAAAAATTAATAAAATAAAAATCACTGTGGGATTCCGATATGTTAAAATAAGAATTAATCTGATTAATTGAAAATGAACAATAGAAGAAGAATATCCGAAATTAATTGAATGACCTGACAAAATCTGAGCAAAACAGTGACAAAAAGTTACCAAAGGTAATGGAGTTTTTGTTATGTCGTGTGTACTGGGGGGAAATTTTACCAAGACAGCGACAAAAACCTCTTCTAGATGGATCAAGAACGGATAGGATCAGTCCTGTTTAAGGTCCCTAAAGACTCCAGTCTGTCCGACTACCATCTTTAACATAAATAATAAAAGTTTTTAATAGCTGTTCACATACTTTTCTCTTTTTGTACAGGCTGTTCATCTTCTTCCTCAATTTCATCTTCAGAATCAGTTTCCTCTGGATCTTGAGGATCATGACGTGTCCACCATGTCACTCGACGTAACTGGAAAATAAAATAGTTTATTTGACCGGTAATTTCATTTAAAACAACCACTCTCGATGGTTAAAACACTGGCAAAAAAAAACCAATAAACAAACAAAGCCATCTGGACATAACCGGAGAGTACATTTAGCATAGAAAGTTCACTTACTATCTATTTTTTGACATGTTTCAATTGTTTGATATACAGTACCTCCTTCGTGGCACAGTTGTCTTTTTCGGAATTAAGATTGCTACTCAATTCATTTTTCTTATAAAAGTATTGGTTTGAACCACCCATACTGAAACCGATTGAAAATTGAATTCACTTCAGTGAACAATTAAAATAGATTTAATAAATTTTCATTCAATCACGAATCGCTTACTTAAGAGAAAACAAAGTAGTCGACGTGCTGTGTATGGACTACCAACCTTTTCTGGAGGTCTTGGTTTTGTAACTAATGATATACCAACAGTTGATATCACTGAAATTGCTGACAATATGATAGCAAAATGTAAGAAATGAACTTTTGTCAGGACATCAGGTCGGTTATCAACGTCATTACTACCACAGAATGGGGCTGGATACACAAAATCTAATATCATTCTTGTTCCTCCTACCGCTAACCCGATCATCAAACCCCAGAAAGCTCCCTAAAATTAAATTGATGAATCATTAGTATTAGTATATTTAGACTGAGCAATATCGTCAACTTCTTTTAAATATCAATTGTCTTATCTGATATAATGGAAAGATCCATTTCTTGTCATGCCAAGATTTGACGTGACAGCAAAGCAGTTTGTTCATCAGACAAAAAAAAACAGTACAGTAGTTTCAACTAAAATGGCTTTCTCTAACGCCAATTTCACAAAGAATATCAGATCAATTTTTAATATACATTGATGCATGCAATTCACCATTATAATACTAAATAGTTATGATCTTAAAACTGGTCCAACAACAAGACAGTCCAATCAACAGTATCAACGGTAGAAGGAGCTTAAAGGTGTAAAAATAACTCACAGCTTCTGTTGTTCCCTTCCAGAATAACGCTAACAAAAACACCCAACACCATGGAGGAGCCGTGTATGATGAAATGGCTTGCAAGTAACTCCATAATTGTCCACTCTGAGATTCCTCCAAAATCGGGATCCACAAAATACTGACACCGATAAGAGCGACCACGGCTACACGACCGACGATCATAAGTTCCGATTCCTTGGCATGTCGCCTGAATCTTCTCCAGATATCCATAGTGAACATACTACTGGCGCTGTTGAAGATTGATGTCAAGGAACTCATAAGAGCAGCTAATAAAGCAGCCAACATCAAACCTCTTAATCCTGTAATGATATATATAACATTCTAATTCAGCTCTTGTCATCAATGCTTTTGAAATGTAACCGAGTAATTCAATACTGTCTCTTAAATTTGTCAACAACGCTATTTAAACATTATTTTAATAACATCCTGTTGATGTATTTCATGCTTTTGAAATGTAACGAGTAATCCAATACTGTCTCTTTAAATTTGTCGGCAACACTATTTAAACATTATTCTAATAACATCCTGTTGATGTATTTCATCATATCTATATTTAGTTCAGCAGGTGTTCAATATGCATTCTTAGTAAGATGTAAGGTGACATGATTTAACTTACTCTGGTCATTTGCAGACAGGGCACTGGAGAGACAACATAGTTGTACAGCTGTGGTGTTGTTCTCTGGGCCTGCTGTCCTGTCAGGTGGCAACTCAGGAGTCGCTCAAGTATAGTCAGAGTGGTCTGTGTTAGGACGGGAAAATAAAAATGGCAGTTTATGCGTTTTGTCTCCTATGTTAGGGTTCCTTGGCTACTTGTGTGATGTTCGGATCTCTGTTGTTTCATATGGAGTACATGTACTCTAAATATTGGTTCATTCTAATCTCTGTCTGTGTGGAATCAGGAGGCCATCAAAGCTGGCTCGCTCACAGATACAGCAACGCAACGACGTTGGTAGGGCGAAAGAATCAATGGAAACGTTAAAACTAGAACGTTTGATATCAATTTTCAGATCTGCCGTCATAATAGTCGCAGAGTCATAGACATTGACTATCTTACCGTCTGGCATCTTTTTGAGTACCAACAATGGGTAAGCTATGTTGGTACAACCAGCTCTGTTACCACAAACAGCTTGGCATTTATCAGGATCAGCACAGGCTATCTCATCTAGTGATTAAAACAGAATTGAAAAGTTGTTCTTAGTCTATAGTATCATTTCACATTTGTGTGAGATATTTGCTTATAATTGTCAATTTGGCAAATCGGATAACGTGTTAGTCATAACACAAAAGACAACAAATTTGAACAAGAAACATCATTGCAAGCGGACCATTTAACCAAATTTCTGTATTCATAAGCACTGATACACTACATGGATGCAAAATTTCAATTTATGTTATTTTCAACATCAAGTGATCATGTGTACTTCTTTCCAGTACAGCAAGGATGTGTCGCATACTTAATTGGCTCCATTTGTATTTACCTGGAAATAGTATTCTGCTGATCATGCCAGGAATGATCCAGAGGAAAAATGGTAGGATCTTCAGACATGCCGCTAAGACGGAACCACCTTTAGCGTGGCTCATATCTTTAGCTGATAAACATCTTTGCACCATAATCTGCAATAAATGCACAGTGTGTTTGTAATAAATTGAAAATTTGGTTTCATCATGTTCATCGGAAAATGATTATTACTGAAGTGGCAAAACAAATCGATCCGCAGGGACATACATAAATGTACATTGCTCTATGCGATGTAATATAGAAACTAGTGAGTTGGAAAATGAATTTGAACGTAACATCTAAAGCAATCATTCGAAAATTGATTCATTCTTCTTATCTATTCATTGAGTTTATGATACGAAACCATTTGGACGCTTCATGGTTATGAAACCCTCCCAAATCGTATCGAGTATAAACAGACACCCCCTCTGTACTGGTATATTCTGAATGTCACGGGCGAATCATAATTTATTTTATAAAAAGAAACCCTCAATAAACCACCAATATTGACCTCTGTGTTTGTGACAACATAATTCTGAACTCTGTACCTGATCTGTGCACCAGACCCATAAACCTAAAGTTGTAAGACCAAACACTGCACCGGGCCATGGGATATCACCCTCTACAGGATCTCTCCAGATGTGCATAAAGTCTTTCCTTGGCATACCACACGTGTTATTTTCAGGATCGGCCAGTGTATAGTTAGCTGCGGCTGTAGCATATTTTCTCATCATTTGTTCCCAACCACCAACTTCAACAAAACCTGAAGCAATTTGAAATAGACGTCACAAAGATGTAGCATCACAAACCCCAACCTCTCGAGTAAGTAGACTTTGGCATTTTCATTGACAATTACAGCGTGAATTAAATTTATATCCCTTTAATTATGTATAGGCGACCAGGTCGATCTTGAGACTGGCAACTTTCGGTATCTCGAAAGAGCTGTATTCAATCGTGGTATTCAGTCGGCCTAGTAACTGCAACATTGAAGTTGTGCCTAGATGCTAATGTTCTACTTCTACTAAGAACTTAATTTGTTCCATTGCTAGTATGACTAGAGCTTATCACTCTTCACTTACTCATAACTGTCAAAATGAATGCACCAATAAGTAGAATAACGGTTTGTAATGTATCTGTATATATAACAGCTGCCAAACCACCTAAAATCCCAAAAAACCAGATGTTATTTACTGCTTAGACATCGCAGATTTAAAACAAACAAAAAACTCTGATAGTGGCTATAAATCATCATATCAAAGCTATATGGAAAATTGACTTATGTAGGTCCCTCTAAAACGAAATTTCACTTTGTCAAAATTTCTATTTTCAATTACGCTATTGCCTTCAACTTGAAATCTTACAATACTTCGAATTAGCTTTGAATACCAAAGTTCAAAGAAAAACTCAAAACATGTGGGCCGTTTTTCATTACAACATTTTAATAGAAAGTACAGTAATGGCAACATGCTTTAAAAGTCTTTTTCTAAGACCTTAATTGAGCTTTATTCATATAAAACATAATACTAAGACTTACACAGACATATTTTAATGGGCTAAAAGTTTGAATAACGGAGATAATTTTTCTCCAAGTGTTAAATTATAAAGGATTTCAGACTACATTGACTGATTAGATAGAAATAGTCTGCCGATTTGTTGACGATACCTTAATAAGGTTTCTGTATGAGACTCATTACATACCCGCAATTGTATAAAAGGCCGTGACAGCTAGAATAATAACTACACACAAATATAGATTCCATCCCAATAACTGTCTCATAAATATAGCTCCTGAATAAATCTCGGACTGAAAATAAATAACATAATAGATCCTGAAAAAAGCTCAGATTAGAAATAAATAACATAAATATAGCTCCTAAATAAATCTCGGACTGAAAAAAAAATTAATTAATAAGTAACTCCTGAATAAATCTTAGACTGAAAATAAATGACATAAATATAGCTCCTGAATAAATCTCGGACTGAAAATAAATAACATAATAGATCCTGAAAAAAGCTCAGATTAGAAATAAATAACATAAATATAGCTCCTAAATAAATCCCGGACTGAAAAAAAAATTAATTAATAAGTAACTCCTGAATAAATCTTAGACTGAAAATAAATGACATAAATATAGCTCCTGAATAAATCTCTTGACTGAAAATTAATAAAATTAATGTTCAATAACACGAAAATAATCTACGAACAATGAAAGGGAGATGACTCTGTACACAGAATCACCATTTCCTAAAGATTGCTCATGTCAACCGCAAACTACATAATTATTTCTATTTGACCATGATTAGAACTATAAAGGCAGAAGCTATGCCAGAGAATAAATGACCAAACATGAACTGTTTATTTCGCATCTTCAAAGCTTTCGTATCTTTACATCGACTTTCAAATGATGCAGTTAAGACGAGTCATCATTGAATCAAGAAAAAATGTCCTTGTATAAGTTTTGCTCTATTTAGGTACCGTTTAAAATACGAGTTTAGACGATTTTTTGATTTCTAGATCTGGTATGCAAGTTGCGCTGTGAAAATGTGAACTTACCGTAATTTTAGTTAATACATAAAGAACTAAAGCCAGTGAAGATAAATATATTCTCAACCTTTTACCACCAAATCGCTTTTTTAAATATTCTGGCATCGTAAAAGCCTAAAATGTAATTATTACCAATGGAAGAGAAACAATCGTCTAAATATATGCTTTGACATTGAATGGAGTGAAATTCATATTAATTTTCAGAATTAACATCCTACTGGTATTCTTACAATCCTCCAAAAAAACCAAAAACAAACAAAAGCACCGATTTAAAATACCAAAGACATCATAGTATGAGAAATTCTTAAAATTAATAAGAAGCTGTGATTGAGCTGGATGGATTGGTATCAAACTGGCAATACTATACAAGAGTATTTTAGTTAATACTACATGTAGAGAGTTTAGTTGCACAGTCACGCCATTACAAAGGTAAAAACTTACCCCACTGGCGACGTAGACAGGAACAAACACCCATCCTAAAGCAATCAGTAAATAAACAGCCTAAAACGTAAAACGCTACTGTCAATTAAATAGAAATCTCATTCAACTGACTAACACATAAAGTCTTAAATAAAAGTATCCGGCCAATAATTGCAACAGCTGAAATTTCAAACCTGAATTCAGCTGTAAAGCAAAAATTATGAAGCATCTTCAATGGCACATATGAAAACACATGGTATTTCTCAGAGTGCTAATGCAAATGCAATATTTATTTATCTCTGGAGCTCAATATTGGCAATTCATGTGTCGCAAGAAATTACTTACGTGCCATTCGTATATGGCCACTGAAAAACCGGATGCAGCTGCCTGACCAGCCAAACCAATAAACATAGGAGCTCCAACATTACTAGCAAATATTGATGCTCCTACCTGAAAGATAAAGTAATATATGTAAGCTGTCCTTTTTGTTTCGTTATGTGGTTATCAACACAACATTAGTCTGGTTTGAATGGCATTCTACCTAAAATGAAAAGTACTGTCCTTGTTGGTCGCGGATATACACAATTGTCATTGTTACTGATATCTTAATATTACTTACCGGAATCCAGTGCATGTCTTTACCAGCTAAGAAATAGCCAGCAGCACTGTTTCTATTGGGTCGAAATGTTGACTGAAAATTTAAAAAAATGTGATAATTTCTTTATTATTTTCAACAGGGTTCATCTTCAGGTGATGAGGCACAATTTAACCACGTTTCATCAACATCAATCGACCGTGCCTCCCAGAGTGTTTGCGAGCTAAAAATTGGTGCATTTTCAAGAACAAGGGCAGTAACTAAGAAATACTTTTCAGTTTGTATTCATTCTTGATAAGGTTCATTCCTGGGTGATGATGATAATAAACAATTTCCACAAGTTTCATAAAAATCCGCCAGGCATTCTTACGAGTTATTGTAGACCGACGGATGAATATCGGGCGACGACGCTTCACGCTGCAATTTTCATTTGGGCCTATAGAAATTACTTTATCGGATACTGACTGAGTTGTCTTTCAATATTCAAGATGCGTGCCGCTGTGTGCATCAGCACATGAAAACCTTATCGTCGCAATGAGGATCCTTATACAATAATACAAATATGATGTAAACGATATATAGATATTCTCAAGAAAACGAGAACGTCGAGACATGACAAAATGTCATTTGATATTCTTCACATTATTTAAATCGGGACACATTGCTATTGTGGTACACGTTTTGGGTAAATTAATAATTTGACTAGTCCATTCATTGTCATCAAAATCGGAATTAATTTGAATTTGCTCCTAATTTGATACTGAAATCAATCTAAAATTACGTATCATGTATAAAGTTTGGGTTGCTATTATTTGGTACCAAAGCTTAGCGTTTTTATATAAAATTGCTCATTCGACAAATTTTCGTTCATTTTCAACATATTCAATAATAATGTGCTTGCAAATTTGTTATAACATAAAACACTACGTGCAGTACCAAATATCTGGAATAACTTTTGTACGATAGTTAACAGAGCTTTACGTATAAATTACATGGAATGTCGGTTCAGATCTGCACTTCCAAGTTTTAAAAATCCAAAGTGTTCCAAATTTTTCATCCGAGATCTTGACAGTAAGCGCACGATCAGACGTGCTAATATAAAGTCAAAATAAAAATTCCAATTGAAAATGACTTACCCATAATCCTACTGCTAAGACAAGAACAAAATATATTACAATCATAACATAATCACTGGCTACAAGGTAATCTTCTGCCATCTTGACAAGCGGTCAATCTGAGAACTATATTAATACAATTAAAAAATTGATAAATCTTCTCAAACCGTTACAGTTGCAAACAACATATTATGTCGGCAAACCCGAAGCTTAGTACACTCTACGTTCACCCCGAAGGATATACGATATACTTCACATAGGAGAAGAGTGGTGGTCCAGTGGTGTGTTTATCTTGGTCGAGGTCGACTATCTTCAGCTTTATTTATTATGGTAATCTGAATCAGAAAGGAATAATAGTCCAAACAGAATGTATATCTACTTCAAATACAGTGTGTTTACTTTTCATATTTCACTGTACAACTAATGTTGACATATTAAAAACATTACACTTTCTTAGGTAAGAATGGCTCCTGAATTCGGGACAATTTTTCTTGGCACGGATTTGGAGGTTCCTGATGTGTCTCCTATTTAGGATCATTGATGCACTTGAAGACATATTTTATAATTAGACAAGTATCACGAGCCTCAAAATTTAAAGTCAGCTTTTTATACCCTACAATTTGTTTATTATACTAAATAAAAGTGGTATCATGAATAGGGATGTGAAATGTATTCAAATAAGACCTTTTATATTGTATTATGTAAGGTGTCTTTTAGCACGTAAGCACAATGCGTGCAATTGTACTAAACCATGTAAATTGACTGCAATTTAGCAAATGTCGTAACGGCTTCTTCTGCTCATTTCAGTATGTATACGCGCGTGTTAAGTCCTCAAATCTAATACTTGGACCCCTCTTATATACATTCTCCAAAACCTGATAGTTTGGCACGTTGTTTCATCAACATAGACGCAGTAGGAACTATTTACAATCTGCAAGGCAAATAAAACTGTTAAGTACTTGCATACGGTATAAACTTTACTTGGATACCGGTGGTTAATTTGTCAGAGCAGGATTTGCTGTCGAAAAATTAAATTCCATTCTTCGACTGGATTCATCAAGGATGGGCAAGACAATCTCGATTTCATTATTCAAACAATACAAGTTCTAATCCAAAATTTCATTCAATTTGAATCCACAATAATCAGCACCGTGGTCGCTACTTCCCTCACTCTTCTGTAACTTTATGCGATTCTACGACTGACTTTGTCAACTCTGCTTCTCCAATGGAAAATGGATTACTTGGCTGATTAATTATCAGAGATCACTATTAGAATACGATTACTTTCTGGGGTCCATTGGTAGAACAATCCTATGGCAGGTTGCAAAGGTCGCGATTAAAACTATTAATGATATTTCATTTTACAGTACAATATAAATGAAGACCAGTTTAACCTATTTTGGAGTGATTACTGTTTGGCATGTTGGAAATTTGCTGACTTGTGGACTATATCAGTTCTGCACGTTTGATTGTAAATTAAATTGCATCTTTTCCATAGATGTTTGTAAGATATGATTTGCTTAAAATGTGTTCAAGGAAAACCAGGAATTTGTTGTTGTACCATACTTGAATCACTTTACATGAAAGCCGAAAAGAATCTTAGGAAAGTAGGCGGAGCTTAGGTCTGCTACAACATGTTCTTTTTGATATTATTGCATGGTTGAAGCTCCACCCCCTTTTTTAAAACATAAATCATGACTTGCACGAGCTTCATTTTCATTGGATAAAACGGAAACGTGATCAGTGCCGTAATAATTTCAATGTGTAAATCATTTTAATTATGGGGTCTTACATGATTAAAGAGACAGATTCGCCATCCGTTTGACCAATCGTAAGTTCTTCCCAGAAACGGGAATTATTTAGCTGAGCTAATCAGTAATAGTGTTCACAACTCATCGTCGAAACTAGAGCCTTTTAAATCCGTGTGTCCAAAATAATTCGCGTTAGGAGTTAAAAAGACAACTCCTCATTTCTTGAGATCCTGCCATATATAATAGAGAAAATCCTAGTTCGGTCGGTCCCAAGATCATTTCCTTAGGGTTGATATTATTTGATTTCGAGGGTCCGTTTCATACATCAACATTTCTCTTTCACCTATCTGGTCTACTTTATATTTCTATTTTGAGCGATTTATTTATTCCAAAGATAATCAGTTAATGCTCTTTCTTGATATATGATACAGAAAAACAGTACTTGAAGATATTATACCTCTTAGTTAAATATTACCATGAATTAATAAGAAACGTGATATGGTATTTACGCAGAAAGTATACTTATTATTGATATCGATATCAGTTTGAAATGCAAACAGTACTCGGTTCCGAGGGATCATTAAACAAGGCGGTCGATGTTCACCTTTTTAAATACAATCGTAAAAAGAGAGCGCAGCGCAACCACCAAGATCAATTTCATTAGAATATCGACGTAAATTATCAGGGCACGGGTTAGTCCGAAACATCTTCCTCTATTCCAGTTGGATATTTTGACAGTTGACAGCTGGACCAAAGTCAGAAATAAAATACCCTATTAAATGGGGATTTTCCACACCACCAAAGATGCGTTTTTTCTAACATAATATTACATTACCCTTGCGAGATTGTAAATTAGTGTTGGACTTTCGTTTTGTTAGTATCACGTGACTCTATAACCCTTGAATTTTTGGCATGCAGTTTTAAATGGCCGATGCTAGATCGGTTTCGCTAAAATAACTTTGACGGACCCGAGACGTGATATTTGTGGTGTAGGGACAAAATGACGGTATGATAGAACTACAAAAATATTCATCGTTCCAAATATATATATTTACATCTGTCCTATCAGACGTTGGAGTAGGGTGCATTTGAAGTTTGGTCAGTTGCTTGGAAGATGACAAGTTCATGTTTGCTTTCAGTAGTTGCTGGTAATCGTAGTAGTTGGGATGTTCTTTTGTTATGGCTGGCAAAGGACAGGTACCTTTCAAGTTTTGGTTGGTAGATGATAGGTAAAGGTTTGCTTCCAGTGGATGCTGATGTCGCAAACTACGTAGTTGTAGGTAATACTCGGAAGTTTTACATTTTTTGAGTCGTCAATGGACTGACACGTAAACAATTTGATTTTTTTGTGTTTTTGTGTTCTTTATCTGGGTAATTCATATGTTACTTTATAATACAGCCCACCGCCTTATCTATATATTTTATAGGTTACTCTATAATACAGCCCACCGCCTTATCTATATATTCTATAGGTTACTTTATAATACAGCCCACCGCCTTATCCATATATTTTATAGGTTACTCTATAATATAGCCCGATGTCTTATCTAGATATTTTATAGGTTACTCTATAATACAGCCCACTGCCTTATCTATATATTTTATAGGTTACTCTATAATACAGCCCACTACCTTATCTAGATATTTTATAGGTTACTCTATAATACAGCCCACCGCCTTATCTATATATTTTATAGGTTACTCTATGATACAGCCCACTACCTTATCTATATATTTTATAGGTTACTCTATAATACAGCCCACCGCCTAATCTATATATTTTATAGGTTACTCATAGGCTATTATATGCTCCAATGTTTTGCCTAGATATTTTATAGACTGCTCTATAATAGAGCCCAACGCTTTATCTAGATATTTCATAGATTACTCTATAATATAGCCCGATGCCTTATCTAGATATTTTATAGGTTACTCTATAATACAGCCCAGCGCCTTATCTGGATATTTCATATTAGGTTACTCTAATACACCCCAATGCCTTATCTAGATATTGCATTGGTTACTCTATAAAATGCCCCTATGTTTTACTTAGATATTTCCCTTGGGTAGTCCATACTCATAACCCAATCTAGATATCTTATAGTTTACTCTATATCTCAATACTCCATCTAATTATCTCACGCGCTACTCTAATAAACCCCAATGCTTTACTTAGATATTTCAAAGGTTACTTTATGATATATCCTAATGTTACCTCGTTTTTCATAGGTTACTCCACAAGACCAATGCTTATTCCACATACATGTATATTTCATCGGTTACTCTTTATGATACGCTTTATCCTGATATTTCACAGCTTACTGTATAAAATAACCATACCTATATGCGATATCTAGATGTTGTAATGGATATATCAAAGCAGTGGGTACTTATTCTAGATTTTATATTGGTTACAAGTACGTTGTATTTGACAAACGAAATAGAAATGTCTAGTTGTCTACCTTTACACAGTGAGAAATGAAAAAGATTTCAAGAAATTTATACACGGTTTCGTCAAACAAATTGTGTTCGTGGGTTATATAATCGGGTTATTCTGGTAACCTTGATCAAGTCATCGCTCCTCATTGTTCCAGTCGACTGTCTGCCAAGAACCGACTGGTAGACAGATACCAAAACTGTTAATATTATCCTTGTAAAATATTGACGTTGTATTTCCTTCCCCTTTGTTATGTATTTTAATGGCCCATAATTTCACGGAGATTATCTATTGTTGGTACATTAAATTACAATTATTTCAATTTGGATGTAATCTTTATTAATATTTACGAAAAATACATCAAAAAAATTCAAAAAAACATCTTAACATCTTTGAAATTGAAATATTCAATCATTTCGCCTAGGTATTGCCGAAATCATTTGTTTTTTGTATTCGTGGATCCGTAGTTAGAGTGGGTATCTCCGATTTGAACTTCGTCCACAGAAGATGGCCTGTTCGGGAATTGAAATGAAATGAAACAAAAGTAAAGCATCCCTGTAAGCCATTGAGGACAATATAGACATACCACAAGGCAGTGGTGTTTGCGAATGCAGCAATGAATCCGAACAACCAAGTAAATCCCATAAGTGACGACATCTTAATGTATATTATACACAAATTTCGATTGTGTCCCTGCTCAGCAAGCGAGACGTCGGAGGTTCTTTTCATATACCACAATGCTGAACAGAAACAATAGAAATTGACTGTGAGCGAAATCGCTACAGGAACATAAAAGAAATATATCAGACCTTCAAAATCTGAGATCCAGGTGCAGGATCCTTGTCCATATCGGACTCGCAAAATTGAGTCTGGTATGTGATCAAGAGAGAAGCAAATTCCAACCACTAGAAAGGGAAACAAGGTGCACACTGAAAGGTATTGTACGAACGAGGAGCTAGAGGAGCTGAATTTAACCGCCAATGAAAATTTACCAAAAGTGAAATAGATATTGACTGCCAGTGCTGTCATCCATGTAAATACAGATAACCAAGCAAAATGTGTCAAAGCAGCTAAATACCTGCAAATTCCGAGATACAGATTCGGGAACTGCAAAAGACATTGTGCAAGCAGCAAGTAAATAGAAAGGAAAAGCTGCAATTTTCGCGGAGTAGAATTAACATCCGTAAGTAGCAGATGAAGAAATATTGAAACCAGAAGACAAAGGCAAGATAGACCCGTACACGTCCAAGATAGATATTTCTGTGCATTGCCAAATCCAAACAGATCCTCAGCCAACCCAGAAGAAAAGTGGAAGCAAACATAAGCTACAGAATTCCGACCGATGTAAAATTCTAAAATTGTATAGGTTGTACTCGGTCCGTTGATCAGTAGCTCATTATCATCGGTTAGTGTATATTCTGATTCTTTGTACTGATAAAGTTTATGTGAACAGTTGATCTTGTTGGACAGTAGCATTTCTTCATTAGAATCAACAGCACCAATACAAACACATACTTTAGTGAAAGACAGAAAATCAAGAGCTGTAATGGTTTTCCTGGCAGAATTGCTAGCAGTGCGTTGATTTCCTACAACAGAACCGGGTATGTATATTTCTTCGGGGTCGCATTGAAATGAGCGAGAAAGCCTATTACTAGTTCTTAAATTATATAAGACACTATCCACAGGATACATCAATGTTTGATTCAGGTCCGTGACGACGCCAGCATATATTTCTTCTTTTAGAAATTTAATTTTAGTATGGTTATAACATGCGATTTCTTCAGAAGAACACCATTCTTCGATCTCGTCGGTAGTTGTAGGCCAATTGGAGATTTCAAAACTAATCTCTACGCTCACTAGGTCGTAAAATCTACTCGAAGCCAATAAAAGAAATTTTGTTAAGGGTAAATTCGTCGAGTTCAACAGGAACTGTCCAACATTTTCTCTCTTAGATTTTTCTAAGATGTACTTTTTGAGACCCACTTCCAATTGATGATATATAATATCAAAACCCACCTCTGTATATGCATCTAGCTCACAAAACTTTACAGTAACGTTGAGGATACTAGCATCCAACAAGAGCGGGGAAGTGCTAGACTTTAAGAATGTATTTGTCGGTTCAACACATGTGCCCCTGTACGGGATTTTCCCATCGTAACATGTAAATGGTCGACATATAGAAAATAAATTATCAAAATTTTCGTCGTCGGCACACAGTTCACTGGATTTGAAAGTTTCGTGGTTGATGGAAACTAGTTCATCTTTCTGAAGGTCTGGTAGGCGAAAGAGTCGAGTAAGGTCTTCATTGGGTTCAGGATTTTGGTCATAATATCTACAACTTAGAGTGCTTATACTTTTCATTACTTTGCATACGATACATTCCTCATTATCAAATAAATTCTGAATTGTGGTATTAAGCTTAAAACATTTGTTACAATCTTCAGCTAGGATTGCTTCGAAATACTTCAGGTCATGACAATCGTATGGAATATACGTATAATTGTATTCCATAGAACAACTCGTGTTGGACAACTGTGATTGCAAAGCATTCCAAGAGGACACATTTTCTTGACAGTGATATCTGAACTTCATTGGTTTCAGTTGTTTTTGATATTCCGACGACACCCCATGACACTTTGCACAGTGTATGTTTTTGAATAAGAGGTACATATGCCCCTCATAATTAATAAGTGGCAAAGCTCTGAGCGGGTTTTCACAACTACGTTTCAGTGTCTCATTAACTGCTTCAGGACATCTATCAATAGTTTTAAAGATTCTGTACGATGTGTTTCCAAATATAGGCAGTCTTGTGCAGCTTCCATAAACCAATGTGTATAAAATGATATTGCGGATAATATCTGTCCTGGAAGTGCTGGAAAGTATATTGTTTAGTTCAATAGTTTTCGCTTTTTGGTCGTACTCATCAACACACGCGGTAGTGAACCTTGGACTCAGAAAGCAAGAGCAGTTGGTTTCGGACGCATCAAATCGTGGTACTTTATAACAACCACCAGTATAGACTATGCATATCACTTCAAAATCTATTTTATCTTGTACAGAATAAACGAGGAACACTGAAAAAAAAGCAACATTACCTTAAATGGTGTATTTCTTGATAACCTGCCTTGTCAAATAGTAGAGCCATCCCCCTTGAACGAGCTATGGGCTCTTTTCAACTGCCAGAGTCTGAAAGCAACTGACTCCTAGGAGATTCTGATTAATCGGTGAATTAAATCCACCCAACCACACCGAGGCTAAAACATTGTCTGGTGTCCGAAAGAACCATCGCTCTGCTGTGATATGATGAAGAAACTTACCTGCATTCAGGTAACATATTATCGTTACACTTAAAATTCTTGCCTCCATGATAATAGGTCAATGAAAACTGGGGAATGATTTAAACTTATATGGTTTTATACCTTGGATATTATCATGCCATTATTTAAATTATTAAGTATATAGAGTATAGCCAGGGTCAGATACGTCCACTTCGACGAATCGTTTTAACTTCTTTATTATAAAAAAGTTGCGATGTCGATTTGTCCACTTAGTCTAAATGTTCACTCCCCTTTAATTTTTCAATGATATGAAATGGAATATTTAACGTACAATTATTTGATAGCAATATAATGACCAAACCTAATGACTATTGGTTTTTAAAGATGGGATCCCTTATTTTCATTCATGAAAATTAAAATGCTAATACTTATATGAACAGAAAGTTGAGGTGTTCTAATGACTTAGAAAAATAATTAATTCATGATTAGCCAAATTAGGAGAAAATTGCCAGCAGAATTCCAATGAGTGACCGATCAAGAAAGGTCAAAAAGTTTTTTTTTGTTTATCAAGACTGTACATACATAGACATTAATGATTGGTTAAAATACATAATCATATGCAATAAGAACATAATGATATGATTAAGAATACATGATAATTCATTAAGTTTGCTTAATTTGACACTCAAAAGGGAAACTCATCTTTAATACTATAAAATTTTTTGTTCGCAGATGAAGAGATATTTATGTAATGTTGATTTCGATTTCGTATAAAGATACAGAATGTCCTTCAAGAGGCTTGGGTCTCAGCCGATCGTGGGACTTACAGAATCTGAGAGCAAATGGATTGTAACGATTGCATCATCTGGGAGAATTTAATCAATCGCTAGACACAGTTTGAGCGTTCCATGTTGACGACTGAAAATCTACAGTTGTCAGCAGATGCTCATGTTCTAGTTTGGATCTAAGCGATTGGAATCTGCTGCATGCTTAACCATTTCATTTAAGATGCAGAAAGTTGGTCAAGTTTTCCATATGAGTGTGTGTCTGATGAACCTGATCGGACCATCCATTTGATCAGTTGCAGCAAGTTTGTCAAGTATTCGATGTGAGCGTTTCAACCATGTCTGTGGTGGGCCCTCTGGGATGCATTGAAACGTCAGTCAAAATAATTTTTTTGTGAATGAGTGATGTATAAATGAATATGTATTGTTATGCCGGTAATTGGCGATTAGTCGCGACCTGTTCTAACCAACATATTTGGACGTTCGTGTCCCTTTAAGCCATCAGAAGCTTTAGCATTTTACTTCGACTCTTATTTTACTAATAGAATGCTTAATATTAAATGAGATGAATATCGGAATTTTCGAATCTATGATACATCCAAAGATTTGATGTGGTCGACTCTTTGATACGACAAGCATTAAATGATTAGTCCGATGGTGAAAACTGATTGGTCTGATACGATACAGAGGTCTTGAGTACCCTAGTTTTGCTTAAATGGTCGTCAAATATTAAAGTACAATTTAATACGAGATTATATAAATCCTCTTCCAGGATGAAATTGGATATACAGAATGATGTGTAAATATATACTACAATGTTCCTGTGTTCATCATTACGGATTCGTTCGAAGAAGGTAAATCCTACCCTCGGCTATTTTGTGCTACCTTCTGGGGAACAGGGACATTGTAGAATATCTGGCGATGTCTTGATGGACTCATTAATGGTTCAACTTTGACAAAATATCAAAATGTACGCGAAATTTGGCTGATAAAACCAAGTACCTAAAAGAGGGCCGGAGCAACAACCATAAAAAAGATACAAACATTTTGTTTCTTGACCTTTTCATTTAACTTTACTTCGAGATCTTCAATTATTAATCGGAATAACATTATATCACAAAATAAAACTATAACAAAAACACTAGAAACTGCACAGTACTGTCGTTGACTTAATGTTTTAGCAACTAAATAATTAGCTATACATATCACTTGCAATTTCAATATCTGACAAATCTGCAGAAAAGCATGTTGACGATGAATCGCCCCATACAGGGGGTCGTTGTCGGTTCTGTCAATACACTTTCCAGAAACATTCGCATTATCCAAATTATTGAAACACTTGCGATGCAGTTCTTCACGATCGTCTTTTACGAAGAGATCGCTTATTAAATGAAGGTTCGTGCTTTTCTTTTTTAGGAGAACGATAAGTTTCTGAAACGGGCGTTCTATTTCGTTTTCGGCAAATGTTTCTGTTGAATTTTATTCCGCACACTTCCTTTCCTAGCAATGACTTTCGGACGTTTTTCTCAAAATCGTCCATCGATACATTGTATTCGAAATACGAACTGTAAGGGTCGTCGAGGTTTGGTTGGTGGAATAAAAACAACAGTCCGTTGATTAAACCATCTAAGTGGAATGACGGTTGCCAATCCTTCAACATATTCAAACAAACGTTGGAAATTTCTCCAAAGTTTTCGTAATCCACACCTTTCTCAGTATCGATGTTTGGGTGATAAACATGTGTTAAACATTGAACTTCCGGTCCCTTGGATTCATAAGTTTCAGGATTTATCTTTATCTACATGACAAAAATAGATATCGTCAGACAAGGATAGAATAGTGTTTCAGGAAGCACAGACCTGTGCTTGTAACAATACTAGGTTGTTTCGAAATACATGCAGTTGTCCTAAGAGCTGCAATATTGGATCAAAAAGCACATTATGAAGTACATATACACTCACCTGAAAGACAAAAGCTCCACCTCTGTATGGACCATCATCTGGCTTCAACACCACCTTTATATCATTCATATCTCCGCCAATTTCCATAATAGAAGCTTGACCATCACTTACTGCGTCAATGTTCTTGATCAAATTACGAATTTCGCTTAATAAAGACATTCTACTGGCCTATGTATACCTTTTGTTAAGGAAATGAGAGAAATTTCCTAAAACAAATAATAAGATCTCTGAAACGGCATCATGTTTAATTTCTAAAACAAATAGCAAACTAGCGGTTTTTGAATTAACTATCTATTTTCAAAAGGAGAAACACATCTCAAAATACATACCTGCTCAAATAGAGAATCAACGCAATGATTGTATAATGCAAATAGCTATTTTTAGTAACTTGCGTAATGTCTTAGTAGGACAATGAGACATAGACGAATCAATGGTAATTTGTAAAGCGCGTGTCTGTTTTACGTACCTTGTGTATGTCTCAAGAACAAACAACTAAATGGGACAAAGATATGTACGAACCCAGAGTAATGTAATGCAAATTTCTATTTTTAGTAACTTAGGTATGTCATAAGATCAAGACCAAATAAGGCCTTTGGACAAAGACTTCGAATTGAGGGTCATGTAAAACAAATGTCTATATTTAGTAACTTAGGTATGTCATGAGACCAAAACCCAAATAAAGCCATTGGACAAAGATATGTACGAACCCAGAGTAATGTAATGCAAATTTCTATTTTTAGTAACTTAGGTATGTCATAAGATCAAGACAAAATAAGGCCTTTGGACAAAGACTTCGAATTGAGGGTCATGTAAAACAAATGTCTATATTTAGTAACTAAGGAAAGGTCACATGATCATTGCACAAATAAAGCCATGGGACAAAGTCTTCGAATTGAGGGTCATGTAAAACAAATGTCTCTAGTTAGTAACTTAGGTAATGTCACAAGATCATGACCCAAATAAAGCCATGGGACAAATACCTGTGCACATCAAGGGTATTGTAAAGCGAATGTATATTTTTAGTAACTTAGGTAATGTCACAAGATCATGACCCAAATAAGGTCAAAACGTTGGAAAATTAGGGTTTTCTTCTTGCATATTCGAGGTCACTAAAAGTAGCATTCTTATGACTGAATACTCCGCTCGCCTACTGAGAAGGGTTTTGGAAAGGATATAAATCTTGAAAATTGGGGAGCCATTTGAACAGCATAATCGTTGATGTGCAAGATTATGTGGTCAGATTATTCCAAATTGACGGAGAACTTTAGCTAATCCCCGTCGGTGTGTAAAGGTTATCTTTTCTCATTATTCCTACGGAAATTCCAGAAGCTCGATGTTAAGAAGTTTGACCAAGGTTGTGAACAATTAAATTGTTATCCTTGTAACAGATAATGTTGATACCTTCTTTGATTTTTTCTTATCGTGTCTTCGTTGAAAATGGGTTAGTGAATGTTATGCCCTTAATCAAAACTCTTGTATCATTCTGATTTTGCATTAAATGTTTGTTGTTCCCATAATCGATACACGTCTGTTACTTCATCAATATATACAAGCAATCGAATTTTTTATTCAAGGGAAATAACTCGTTGTGAACAAATAAGTTGTTATCCTTGTAACAGATAGTGTTGATACCTTCTTTGATTTTGTCTTATCGTGTCTTTGTTGAAAATGGGTTAGTGAATGTTATGCCCTTGATCAGAACTCTTGTATCATTCTGATTTTGCATTAAATGTTTATTGTTGCCATTATCGATACACGTCTGAGACTTCATCAATATATACAAGCAATCGAATTTTTTTTTCAAGGGAAATAACTCTTGCTTTTGATTGCATTGTGATTTTTTCACTAAACAGTATACGAGTTATTTCCCTTGAAAAAAAAAATTTGATTGCTTGTATATATTTACATGTGAGTTTCCAACAACAGTAACATCATTGTAAAAAAATTTATAAGTTAACAAACAAAAACAAATAACAATACACTATAAGCAACAAATACACATTCTCTGCTCTGGCACTTCCATCTTAATAAAAATCATATCAATATCAGTCATATTAATAAATAGTATAAAAAATTTAGTCATTAGGCATATTATCAGAATGACAACAAAAGAAACGACGTAAGAATTTGTCCACCATTGCATGTATAAAATCACTTTCAGGAAATGTTCTATCAAAGGATTTTATTGAGCAAAAGTCCTTTTCATCATGGAAATTATGAAAGATCTTGGTTTTAGCATTTGATGCCTCTTTAGTAAGCAGATTTTTGTTTTCATCTGAAGACAGACATGCAGCTTCATTTGACACAACTGCAGTTTCGTTATCTTGGTTTGCAGTTGTGTTATCTTCACTGCTCAAAATGGCTGCTTCGCTATCTTCACTGCTCACTACCAATGTTTCGCTATCTTCGCTTCTCACTACCAATGTTTCGCTATCTTCGCTTCTCACTACCAATGTTTCACTATTTTCGCTTCTCACTACCATTTTTTCGCTATCTGTATTTGTCATCATTGTTTCGCTATCTGTATTTGGCACCATTGTTATTTCTACATTTGGCAAGAGTACCATTTCACTGTCTTTCAAGGGACTTTCTTTAGCACTTTCTGCACTTGGAAGAGCAGGATCTTGATTTTCTATTTTTAGTTCAGATAGATCATCAACTTGTTTTCGGAGAATCTCGTACTGTTTGTCACACAAGTTCCTCTCAAAGAAAAAACCATCCACTTCTTCTCCCAGTAAAGATCTGTGAACATTTTCAGAGAACTCTTCATAGCTCATCCCAGGACTGATATAGGGACTTAAAGGATCATCAATTTCTGGATGATAGAAAAGAAACAGAAGACCATTGATCATACCATCTAAACCATAGCCTGGTTGCCAATTATCAAACATGTTTAAGCAAGCATTGGTGCTGAAGTCATTATCATCAACAGGTAGTAAGTCTTCCAGATCAGATGTGTCTATATTAGGATGGTATATTGGAGTCATACAAAACACTGTTGGACTTTCTGTCTTCTGGTATGGATCCACACGGATCTGAAAAATATCAAAAAAAAATATTTGAATTATACGTTTTACAGAGTAAAAATTTCAAAACAACTGCTCATTTATAATGTTTTCTATGCATCAGAGACACCTATAGCAAAGATTTGTACAATTCCAATTTGAACTCAGATATCTGAGATGCTTGCAATTTCAATTAAACTTATAATCTTATGAAATTACCCATAACTACTCCTAACATGTTAGAGACTTTGGGAGAGGTGTGTCATGAAACACTCAGTATTAATGAAATCCCATAAAATTGGAATGGTGCAAATTATTCTTTTATTTTCACATAAACACATTAAAAGTTTGGAAAAACTCTTCACATATTCTTTAATCTATACAGTATTAAGTTAGATTTTGGCACAGAAAGTACATTACAGAAGAAATAAGCTTATTTTCTCTTAATTGGCAGAAAACCCCACAACAAATTATATAAAGATTGTCCCAAAGGTCATTTGTCAAGGAGAGATTTTTGCCTCTGAGATCAACTTGTAGTAACTCCTTTTCCATATTAGTTGACCAAATGTTTAACATTAGGTTCGAGCATGAAAAGACCAGACTCAACAGCAATCACAATTAAATTGTAAAAAAAAAAAATTCTTTTCTGTGCAAAAATCTAAAAATTCAAATTGTTGTTCTTCATTTAGCTGTTACATTAGTTAATTTGGCCAATATGTTATCAATTGTCACTATAAACTTCCCTTACAATTCGTGTATTATGTGATTCATCCCAGAAGTTTCTTGTGGAACATTCGAACTGAAAATGACCTTAACTAAACTGATATTTCAAAATAAAAATTTTGTCATCAACCCAAATGCATAGTTTTAGTGGAATTGCAGAATATTGGAATGGAGCAAATTGATGCTATCAGTCTCCCATATACAAAATTTACAAAACGTCTTTACAATCCCTTTCATATATTATATCACTCACCTTAAAAAGAAAAGAAGCACCCTTATAAAGACCATCATTTGGTGATATTTCAATATGGATGATGTCCATAAAGTCACCCATTTCAACAATTTTAGCTTGACCATTACTCACTCTGTTGATCTTTTTCACCAAATTTCTAATCTCACCAAATAAAAAATCCATTTTGAAACTTAGTTCTTTAAGTTGACTAGAAAGGTTTGTTTTTCACGACTAGAACTGTTACTGTGTAAACAAATATTGATATCGATGTTCTTTCACGAACTTGTCCCTAAAAAACGAGAGTAGACACTGTCCACGTTGCAGTTCTGTTTGTTTAAATCATTTAGACAACTAAGTTGCCCTTTCGCTAAATTAACTTTCAAGCCATTTCTATTTTGTGTATCTCTGCGTTTCCTACCGGTATGTGGATCTATTTTGCTTCATGTCACTTATATTCAAGATTTTACATGTATGTGATGAAATAGTGTCGACATCGTTCCGATTTGTTGATATCACGTGATTTCATAACTTCCGTTACTATAATAAGTAACTTATAATGATGTCATCCAATGACTTGCCAGCAAATCTATTTTAGTAAGGCTGTAATATGACTGTTTTGGAAGTTGCACATTAAAAATAAAAGACAAATGTTTGTACAGGCATCTAAGTATGAAATGGAATAGTGTGTCATTTTTTTGGGTCCATAGAGAAAAGGTGTTAAGAGACAGAGCTATAGCTATAGGCCTACTTCATTTGCAGAAAATCCTCTAAAGAGTATTAAAAGGACTCACTCCACTAAAACATGTTATGCAAATGATTGTATACGAATGTAGTGCAGGCTATTTTTAGAAATCTTCTTTCTCTCTCCCTTTTGGGGTTTTTGCATGCCTATTTTAGAGTAATTTTTGGTCTAGATTTGGAATTTGATGTCTGAAATTGCATTATCTTTAAGATTTGGTGAGATGATGAGAGAGCTAATAATAAGAAATATACTCAATAAACAACATTTGTATTGACTCTCTTTGACAAAGACAATCTCAAAAACATAAAGTGTTCCAAAAGAATCTGCATGTCTCTCTAATTACCATGCTTATCATCATTGTCCTTTCATACAAGATAGTTTTAGGACATAACAAATCAAACAATTACTAATATTTGCCATCAGCAGCTAAATTATGAGTAAATGAATGAACACTTTAGAATAACTAGTTTATGTTATTTTTACTAACAATAATAATAGCAATGTGGGCAAATTTGTTCTTGTTGGTGAGTTCTGTGTACAGCCTTGACCAATAGATATAGGTTTAATCCACTAACAGTATTCAGTAAAAGTACTTGGTGTCCATTCTTGACATATTTCATCCTTTATCAAGATAATGTCTTCTTTGTAAATCTTTCATAACATCTTTCCAGATAGTAAAACAGTCATTGCCTATTAATTTATTGAGTCCAGAGAAAACTATATTTTTCAAGTAAATCTGAAATTGACACAAATACTGAAAATGTTCTAATAAATGCTTGTAGTCCCAATTAGACCAGTCTGTTTCCATTCTGCAAAAAAAAAAATTGAAATAGGCTCGATCACAACATCACAAAAATAAGATTGTCTTCTTAAAAAAGGACTTTGACATAGCCTTATTAACCCATATTTAACTATGCTGGCTAGACATTGTTTTGTGGGCATAGAAATGAAATTGATGCTATTAGATTGCAATTTAGGTAGGATGAAAATACTATATATCCTCCATATTAGTCAAAACACTTAACAAGTGATTTGATTGGCTGAGATTTTTCAAGATGGCATCCAGTCAGACAATTTCTCAATATGAGTTTTTGCTTATGTTGATAAGAACAGATCTAATGAGAATCACTTATTAAATTGAGCCCCATTAAGATCATGGCAATAGATAAAAGCCATTTTTTTCAATATTTGACTCACCTCCAGAGATATAACTTAGGAAAATATTTGTGACTATAATCTGGTTTCATACAGTTTCCCCAGTTAATTAAACATTGGAGATATAGGTTTAAGAAGTCCACATTACCAACAGCTACATTACATAATATATCTTTCTTTATATCTAATAACATACTGAAACAAACAAAATCATACTGGATAAGCAACTAATCATGATGATTTTCCAATCTTACAGCAAAGAGAATGAGTGAATACATGGATATGTAAGGTTGGCAACCTGTGTTCATGTTTCAGCGGTTTCTCACACACTCAGTGTCATTTTGGTGTATAAGTCATGAATGTTCAAAAGCAACAAGATTTTATTTTTTCGATATCTTCATTAGATGAGACTGGTAGACTATTAGACTTATTCTATTTAGAATTTCTCCAGTTTGAATACACAGACATCAAATGGAAACCAAACAATATTTCATATTTACATAGGATTTTCATTGGAAAGTAGCTGTAACCAAGAAAAAATCAACTGATAAATATTACTATCTTCTGTACTTGGTTTGACTATTCTTTGTTCTTCATACACTGCTATCAGACATATGATAATTCCCTACAAAATCAATTCAAATTGGTTCGAAAGAATTTTTGAGGAATCCCTGTTAAGAATTTTAAGGTGGCTCTCAACACAATCATCAATGTTAGGATCCAGTGCTGAAACCACTTGGCTTATATATGAACAATTTGGACATATTGGAAATTTATTACAGAAACCTTCACAGTAATATGATTAAAATGCAAATTTGGATGACCTTTTTTGTACACTTTCCTATCACAACCAAAAGCGAAAACATATCAAATTTCCAATTTTTTCTTACCATTCCATTTATTTCTGACAGTCTTGTTAAAATACTTTTAACATAATTATTATACCTATAACAAACAAGATATTTAGAAATTCAGGGAAAATTCATGAAGAATTCTCTGCCTTTCGTGGCATCTTGAATTAAAAATCTCCAACAATTCCAGTTTATACTATTGGAACATGTCTCAGACAATCATCAAGAACAGTGGGGGTCCAAGGGGGCATTTGGCCCACTATAAAAGAGGTTTGCACTTCAATTTATTTTCAACAATTCTAAATGTCAACCTTTTTTCTCCAAAATATGTGTAAGAATGCACAACATCAATTCATTGACACATTTTTAGATCTGAAACTCTGTTAAATTTGAGTTTTTCTTACCATCAGTGTTGCAGCTTGTGGGACTGGCATGGAGAAAGATCACCAAGTTGCGAAAAATACAATGAGGCCAAGTGTTCCACAGGCTGTGCACATTAAACATTAGTGGTTTATTTACAAAAACACCTAGTGTTCCAGTAAATATGCTGCCTCAACCAATCAGCTGAGATGTTATATTAAAATTTGGTGAAACAGCCCCCTTCTTTAGAGATAAATTCCATTTACCTCTCAGTTCTAGAAACAATGTGAGCTTGTTGTTTAAAGTGGTTATATAATATATAGGATTGTTGAGGGATGTGTGTAGTTTTATCAGAATCATCCCCATCAATTTCTCTTTTCATATTACCCAATATCTCTACTGTATTACTTAACATTGACAAATGATGAAACTTCTGAAATAAACCAATTTAAATATCTGGAAATTTTTTGATATTCCTATGATCCAAATTCCTAAAATATATTTAGCACCTGTTTGTGAAATATTAAAACTCCAGTAAAATGCCTAGAAAAACTGAGAATAACAGAATACCATTTTTCATGCAGGCAAAGAATATAACTTATAATCAAATTAGAACATCCATTGTACCTTAGCCATTCTTGATTTCTCAACTGACTTATCACTTTTCTGTAGAATCATCTTCTCAAACATTTCAAGTTTTAGATGTGTATTCAATACCAGCTTCTAGAAAATTTACAAATTTAATACAAGTTTATATATATATATTAACAAATTTTATTCAATATTTGCTTTTAGAAAATATCAACAAGCTTATACATATATTATCAAATTGTATTCTATAGCAGCTTCTAGAAAATATTAACAAATTGTATTCAATATAATCTTCAAGAAAACATTAACAAATTAAACTTCTAGAAAATATTAACAAATTGTATTCAATATTATCTTCAAGAAAACATTAACAAATTAAACTTCTAGAAAATATTAACAAATTGTATACAATATAATCTTCAATAAAACATTAACAAATTGTTTTCAATATCAGCTTCTAAAAAATATTATCAAATTGAATTCAAAACTTGTTTTCAATATCAGCTTCTAAAAGTATTAACAAGTTTCTTAAATTATTAACAAATTGTTATCAATACCAGCTTATAAAAAATATTAACAAATTGTATTCAGTACAAACTTCTAGAAAATATTAAGAAATGGTATTCAATACCAGCTTCTTTCTAAAATTTTTTTTAGGTCTGCAAGCTTATGATTGCAAATGAGCAAAGCTACTTATGATAGGCCTATCTCACTTTTAATTTGCTTTGTTATGTTATTTATGTAATGTTTCAAGGAAAGGTTAAAAAAAGGTTAAAAACCAATTCTAACCTCTTCCAAGATCTCACTTGCTCTTCCAAGACTTTCTACATCTAAAGTGAGACAGGATGCAGGTGTAATCAAAGATGTCATTTCTTGAAGGTTCTTCTCCAAATTGTCACAAAGAGGCTTGTCTTTAACATGATCATATACCTGAATATGAATATTGTTTTGTTGATTAAATTTTAAGACAAACTCCTGTGAAATATAACACAAAGACCATAATGTGTGTTGCACGCTATAGTTCAGTGCATAATTTACTTTTCTGTGATAGACTAAGCCTTTATACACATATTACGAATAAAATAAAAGGTTTCGTGTACTTAAATATAAACCTAGAACTAGAACTGTTTAGCTGAGATACAATCATACAGTCACAAATAGTAAGTTGGCTACCTGTTCACAATAACTTGCCCAATTAAAGGCATTATTGATTGATTTCATATCCCAATGTTTGACTGTTTCTGTGCATGACTGACTCAATATCTGAGCAAACGTGTACACATTTTTCAAAACAGTACTAAATGACATATCTGGTGTAAAATACTGTGTTTACATGTTCAGTCGTTAGGTTACATTCTCAAACTTCCCGCAAAATAAGTGATAACAATTTTACTTTCTTGACAAAAGAGTTAGTCAAGGGACGCAATTTTAAAGACAACAGTAAACTGCATAGCATTTACTTTTATAGATTGGCTGATGATAATAAATCATTATGTCTACACTGCAGACGATTATCAGAAGGCTGATAATGTAGAAAAAAAACAGTGCAACATCTGAACAGCTATGTGGGCTAGGCTACTGGGAGCTGCGAGACTAACAATCATAAACAGTAAAGGACCCTTCACACAGTCGTAACATGTTATCGCTACATCGACACGCCTAAAGTGGAGTAGTTTTTAGTTGTAAAAAAAAATTCAGACACCGGCCATTGATTAGAAACATATTTACAAGTGAAAAGAAAGGTTAACTCAAATAAAAATGTCTAAGACAGAATGGCCAGAGCTAGTTGGACTGGTATGTAGCCTTTACATTATTTCTAAATTTGTATTATATGTGTAATAACGCCTGTTATCTGAATGAATAGAGGTTAAGTAGGTCATGTATTTTTAGTTTCAAAACAAACTTATTGCGATTGTTTAAAACGTAGGGTTCAAATGGACGAGGTAAGCTGTTCGGCGGATGGTAGGCCCACGTAGGGTTCGAGATAATCCATGGAGTAGAACAATCGTGTCTGCAACGTGACCGGACCAGTACCTATGGCTCGATTCTTATTATGCAGAAACCAACCCATGACTCAATTCAAGATAAAGCAGAATCCCCTCATTTTGTTATATTTATCAGGTTTCGCCTCGTTAAAGTTGATCAGAGTAAAACCAACGGATCGACATGGATCCTACACGCTGAACAAGCTTGTCTGCATGTTGATTGCATAGCTAGCCTATTATTAACACCAGCCGGAGTCATTGTTCAATAGGCCTACAAGCGATTGGCAGTTCCCGTTACCAATGGAGCAGCTATCAAATACAACATTTTTGTTCTAATGGACGTTCTTGACAAAGAACTATATCCTCGATTAATACAAATATTTGGTACAAGAACTCGAAACCACTTATCCTTGATAACATTTCTTATTTTCTTGCAGCCAGCACAAGAGGCGGAAGCAAAAATTAAAGAAGAAAACAGTAACCTTACGGTTAGTTGGACACGTTCGTATTATATCCGATAATTCATTCGAAGGATGGAAATGCGTATCCTACCATTCAGGGTTCTTTGGCAATGATCTCACTTCCATGGTTTAGTCGAGGTATAAGGCCTACAATGAGATTGTTCCAAACGGTCCTTGACTTGTCGTGTTGTGGTGCAGGTCTGAAAGGCTGATATCAGTCAGTATGTATACTAAAAACTCTCAAACAGAAAAGGCATTATGGTGGCATATCCATGCAAATTATAATTTCATGAGTTAGAATTGGAAATGGTGAGTTGTAGGGCAGTACTACGTGATAATAATGTTATACCAAAGAAATAAAGTTTATCTGTCGGTTCATGTAGTGATATAAATTTATAACACCAATAAACCTTATCTAACAAGTAGGCTATACACAAATAATATTTGCAAATTATTACATTAGATCTAAATTTTTTTTCATTTTTTCTGTCTGTTACTGTAACTCTCGTCATGAATGATCTAGAGGTTTTTTCCTTTAAATCTGAATTCTGGAAAGTCGAAATTTACACAACACCAACCAAAAACAGCAAAACGTAAAATTGTGACAAAAGCTTGGAATTGTGGAAAAAAAGAAATTCTATGGCCTTCCGAGATACAGGGTCTGGTACAGCAAAAGAAACAGTTTTCGCACCTGAAAAAACCTTGCACAGTGAGAAACACCATTAAAGAATGTTATGGCTCATACTGCCGTCTATAGTTAACAAATAACACTCATTCTACACTGCATGCCGTTGTCCATCTCCCCCACCCCTATTATTTTAAATTCGATGTTGTCGAGACGTTATTTAATGTAAACAATTTATTTTTTCAGGTGCATATTTTGCCCGAGCTGTCACCAGTAACAATGGATTATAGAGAAGATCGTGTTAGAATTTTTACTAATGCGGAGAATAAAGTATCCCAAGTTCCCAGAACGGGATGATGTACTGTTTCATAATAACTGTAATGAGTCCATTAATAAATAAATGTATGTCGTTTAATAATTATTGTTGTATTTATTTGTATTTGAAAACTGACTATATTAAAAACAATAGCAACTTACAAACCAACTGGTATGTAGCTCGTCGAAGAGTCTGAATGAAGAGGGACTGAGGTGAGAGACGAATATTTCAATCGACAGTTAATCAAGATATGCATCACCACAATAACGATTGCATCGCGGTGATATGAGATTTAGAAAAAAAAACATATGAATTAAGTGTTAATTGCGAAATTTTTCTCAGTAGAGATAATGGCCTCCAAAAGAGAGTTTTCGAATAGGTCTTCATGTACGATTCCCTGTTTCATCATGTTTCGACAGACAGACACAAATTTAAATTCCATTTTGTTCAACAGACAGCATGGAAGAATGATCCGCGCCCAGAAGTCTGCTTTTTATAACCTATAAAATTTTGAGGCAAGCCTTTCGTGGAGCACTGATATTCATGATCTGTTTATTAAAGCTCAGTGATGCACAGTATTAGATCGTATAACGCATTACTTATTGAACGTGGGGAAATGCCCACGCGCAGATCTTGGCTTCAGATCAATTTGCGTCTATTTAAGGTTTCTAATTATCAGATTATCACATTACCATGTATTTTCTCCGAAAACTGAGATACTTTAATTTCAATAATTGGTGTTGTAATCGAAAACTATCTTGCAAATAATGGATGTTGTTGGCATGGAAATTAAGTTTAACGCTCTAGTTTCTACGCCTATTTGGGCTAATGGGGACAGCAACACCATACACTGTGCAATGAGGGACTTGTTGGGACAGCGACATAGCCTCCTATTTTTTGATTATCAACTGTCGATGGATCTTTAACGTGCCACTTTGTAGTTTATTGTCCCATCTGAACGACTAGACGAGCGGATGTTGCTGGCCCTTCAGAAATGAAGTTTTACGCTCTATTTTCTGTGCCTGTTTGGGCTAATGGAACGGGCAACACCATGCATTTTGCAATGAGGGACATTGGGCGTCTAACCCACTGAGGCACAGCAGCGGCTTCCACGTTAGTAGACATGTAAAGAAACGAAAAAGAATAGTGCAAAGAATGGCATTCTGAAATTTAAACCAAGGCCGGAAAACTAATGTACATCTACTTAAAAGATATCTAGTTAAACCCTGCAACTTCTGTAGCCTGGATTATTCAGACAAAAATTAAAATAAAAGAAAAATGATATTGTGATAATTTTTCTTCAGTCTTTGAGAACATAAATTCCTTAGTAATATACAATTTATATACATCTCATAAGCAGCTAAATAGCTGGATGGCACATTTTCTATTTGAATGTGACCTTTTAAACAAAACGAAAGCAACGATAAGCTGAACGAAACGCGGGACTGATTAGTGCTATAGTATATAATAGGATGCCCTGGCACTCTGTATCTTAAAACAATTTGTCTTATCTGCGAACTTGACACTTTATCACGGGGTATCGTGAGTTATCACCATTCTTTATCTGCACAAAGCTGCCCCATATTAATGAATTAAAGAAATGCTTAGTGATACTATTTTGACACTAACCATGCTAATCATTTCTGTAGATATTTCTCCGTTCATTATCACCAATGATGGTGGTGTTAACTTGAATCTTTTCAATCCTACCCTATATATATATCACTCGGCCATATTTTAAACCTTTATCTTAAGAAAATATTGAAGTTATCTTGACGGGGTGTGGGCTAAGTGTAATGTTATTGAAGACTGTTCAAACATTCTTTTCGTATCACACACTTGCAAGTGGAAACGTAAAAAACGTAAGACAACATTATCTATGGATGCGATCTGGAACATACTCGCAGTGGCTTTGGTAGCCAGTGTGGTCAACTGTGATGTTTTTACAACCCAGCAAATTCAAGACCTAGACGACTTCATACAAAATGCAATGTCTTGCCGACATGTTCCAGGCCTAACCTTGGGTGTGGTGAAAGGCAATCAATCTTGGACTAAAGGATACGGATTCGCAGACAGAGAAAATAATAGAAAGGTTGATGCCAACACATTGTTCGGCATTGGTTCTATCACTAAGTTTTTCACTACGACTCTTCTTTCTATTTTGATAGACGAAAGTAATAAAAAGTAAGTAAATTATCTTATATTTTATGAAATGTATTAAAGGCATACCACCTCTAAGAGTGACCCAAAAATTGAAATTTCTAAACTTGGTTAAAATGAGTCTTTGTTTATCAGTGAACTTACCTGGTATCCTTACTATTCAAAAGAATACATCTTAAATACATTTATTAAACTAGTAATTCCGAGACTTGCTTAGAAGCCTGTTTCAATAATTATTTAGTTTAATGGATATATCGTCTTATTACAGATACTGTTCTTTTATCATGGCACCTAGTAAGTCCAACTGTTGAATATATACACAAGTTTGAGACTTTAAATTTTATGTCCATTCTAAGAGGAAGTATCCTTTTAACAAAAATTGAAAGAAATTGTACATCACGTAAAATATTTTATCTAAATGGCGGCGATAAGCTCTTACATTCATTCATAGTTATTTATTTATACAGTATAGGAACAATTGTAACACTATTCGCTTCGTCAACGAAGATTTAAAATGATTTAGACGTCTAAATATTTTTGTCCACAACTGATATTGCTCAATTTCTGCTTTCCATTATCATTTTGAGACGTCCGGCTCGTATACTATGCAATAAAAATGCATTATTCGTACAGTTAAAGTAGAACTATCTGCCATCTTATGAATCCAAAATAATTTCGTTAAGGTATAAGATCTGTTACCATCTGGCCCACTCAGAAACCCATGAAATATTGGGCTTTATAACCAATACGACTAAGAGTTATCTCTTCGTTCGAAGAAATTAAGTCTTAAGTTTGCAACAGTTATCAAATTCTCGTTTTGATTTCTTAATTTTCTGAAATTCAACAAATGCATGTGGGAGTTCCCCCAGAGTGAAAACATATTTCCACCTTGTCTAAATTCAAAGTATTTTCAATATTTTTGAAATAATAAAATTATTATACAAGAAAGACAATTCCGTTAATGAACATCTCGTCCAAAGTATGGCAAAATAGAGAGAGAAAAATTGTATAATAGTGGACTCCTAAAGAGAAGTACCAACAGGTGTTTCGAAAGGAGACAAGGTTACATTTTCGATATATTAAAGTATTGTATTTGTAAAATGGTTTTCAGATATACGTGGGATACCAAGCTATCAGACATACTGGGAAAAGATTTCAAGCTGAACACAAACCTCCGTACTACAGAAACAACCATAAAAGATATACTATGTCACAGAACCGGTCTACAGTCCGGTGATATGGGAATATTTGCTGGTTATCCAAGCAATTTCACAAGGGCACGTATGACGGGGTAAGTTTCTTCCCCCTCGGATCACTTGTACACAATACGGTATCCTATTTCGGATCATAATCATTTATGAAATCTGATTAAAATTGAGATTGAACTGTTCCGTCTATTTCTCTGGGGGTTATATTTTATTGCACCAACCATTTAGAATCTGAAGACATTTATCTTATATTTGTCACAATGACGCCATAATCTAGTTAAATCTCCACATGGCATCCAATTTAGTTATGATGCTAAGAGAAGCCACATTGTCCCTATCAATGACTGGAAACCCGCTTTTATGAGTTATTTTAAATGACTATCATACTTATGCTAGATGTTCCACGACATCTCGTCTTAAAAATACCAATAAAGAGCAGAGCAATACAACCGAAACCTGGCGTTCGAATATACCTTTTATGATAACTCGTTTCAGTCTGTTGCAGTATCTCGATGAAATAAGGCCATTCCGAGATGGCTTTCAGTACAACAACTGGATGTACGCATTAGCTGGTCATCTTGTTGAGGTGATATCTGGTAACTCCTGGCTGGAGGAACTTCAAACTAGAATATTAGATCCAGTTGAGATGACAGAAACCCGAGTTCTATCTACCAATATTCCAGTAACTGATGAGAAGATGGCCAAACCTTATGTTATGATCGGTGAAGAAGTTGTACCTTCAGCTTCGAGGATCTATAAGTAAGTTTTATGTAATGCTTTTCGACATACCCAATTAGTATATAAGTAACCTTTAAAATTGACCTGTATGTCCGGGTATCAAAAAAGACAGTATAGATAGTTTTGGGATAATACCGTAGGATTTTCAAATCTGGTTCTTCTGGCAGTAATGATGGGCCACGTGGCTCCAAAAGGCAACGTGTTATTCGAATGAAACAATGAACCGAATGTCCATGATGATGTCCAGGGGTACCTGTTCTTGATGTTTCCTATGTTCTTTGCTTTTCTAATTTTCAACAGAGGAATCTATACAATTAATAATACATGTACCTCTGATACTTTTTTCAATAGCATACATCCAGAACAACCAGCAGGAGCAATAGCTTCATCAGCAAACGATATGGTCAAATGGATACAAATGATTTTAAATAAGGGCAACGTAACAGACAATGTCATAGCTAATTGGGATACTTTAGAAACTGCTTTTAAACCACACACAAGTGTCCCCTTGGAGGGCTGGAATAAACCGATCTATCCAATATCTCATGTTCAATCTGGATATGGATTTGGGTGGTTCATATCAAACCATAATGGTAAGCATTATTGGGTATTTACTTATAAATCATAGAAGCACACGGATTTGACCGTGGTCAAATTTCCGTCGATTGGATTAGAGCAATCTAGATGCCCATTGGTATGATCTTATAGAATGCTCAAGCCAGGTGTCCACAGAAAGAATAATTTCTTTTGAAGCTTTGTGTAATTTACTCCTGCAATTGTCTTTGGCACAGATCATAAACATTAGTTTTCAAAAGGCATTTATTCGTAGTTTTATTAAAGGAAGAGAAGAACAAATGAACAACCATTTTTACTCGAGAATACTGTTTAACAGCTGGCCAGTGGAAAGACCACTCTGCATTGATCTTTATTTATCCATACCCATGTTCAGCTGGGTCGACTGAAATCAAATGGAAAGTTGTATTAAGAACAAGCAAAGGCCAACCTTTATTCTGCATTTCTTAATAAATACCAATGTGGATTCGCCTTAAAGTAAAATCCTAGTGTAGATTTAGATGCCCCCGATGCCCTTCATATACAACGCATATTCCTTAAGCAATGGAACAATGATCTATCGGGATAATCATCGTACCGTTGCTAAAGGAACATGGATACAGCGTAGCTTTTTGTGATGGTGGTTTCCTTTATTTCAGGATATAGACTAATGTGGCACACTGGTGGTTTATTTGGTTATACAGCTAACTTATGGGTATTCCCCGATCTCGACATCGGTATATTTAGTAATGTAAATGGTCCTGGACTAACTGTTGGGGGTGCTCGGATATTTGAAGTGATCTTTTCATACATCTTTGACATGCTTATGGACCAGCCACCATGGTTGAATGAAACAACTGCTTGTACCTTTCCCATGCCCTGGCATCCCGAGAATTACCCAAAGAGTTCGACTCTTAATGTCACCAATGAACCAGTAGAAAACACGAAGCAGTACACGGGGATATACGGCCATAGATTATTTGGTGAAGTACACATCACAGCACAAGAAAGCACTCTTTTCATCAAAGCTGGTCTAATGAACGGCGTACTAAATACAACTAATGTACCAGATAGTTTTAAAATGCAAATCGTTGGAGATTACGAATTTTTTTCAAATCAAAATAATGTGACAACGTTACTTCCAGTTACCTTTTTCAACAAAACAAACGATAAATTTCAAGATGTACTTTTTATATTAGCGGCAGATAAGGGTGTTTTCAAACGAGGAGTGGTATGGGGTGAAGGAGAAAAAGGCGAAGATTCTGATAATTCAACATCGACTTTATCCTCCAGTAGTTTATTACATATTGGTCTTAATTTTATTATTTATTACTGTATAAATCAGTAATTTTAGGCAATATGAAGCTGTCTTCGTACTTTCATATATTTTTTTTCATTCTAACTGGAATATCAGCTTCAAAATAGTATTGATGGCCTAAGAATGACTTTAGCTTTTAAAACAAATGTTGTCATGGGCACACATTTGTTTATACAAAGGACAATTTCAGCAAAATGTTAGGCAATTTTTTGGAAATATTTAAGAGGAAAGGTTTTTATATATTAAATGTAAAGGTTGCAAACCTATATAATTTTATGTTCCAACGTAAAGTAATTCCAAAACTATATGTATCAGTATGCCCTTATTGGAATTCAAAACACACGGTTGAAAGAAAACAGTTCGGGGAAAGTAGTAAGTTAAGATAAGTATATTTTCTTAATGCATTAGAGTCATATTTCCGTCCAATTCTTGTATTTACTTTATCGGTTAATAGAGCTCAATTTCAGCCGCTTGTTTTTCTTCTAAGAACAGAAATACGACGCCTGGTACGTCTGCAAATACAGAATAAGCTAAGAGCGGTAGTGACGTGTGTTCAGTTTTAACCGTAAAAAAATGTGAGCTGATATCTTCTGTGTTGATGAATATCTAGAATGTCGTCGCTTATGCTCTGGGATTTTCCTTAATTGCAGATTAACAATAAGTCAGATTTTTATTCTGATAAGCACTCCTAACGGCTAAAATGGAGCTTCATCAGCTCATAAAGCAAATGTTAAGACGGCGATATTCCTTATTAATGGCTTGTAGCACTTTGTTCGAATATAGTATGAAAAGTTTGTGCATTGAATTGAAATATTACCCCAAATTTCTAATAAAAGAAAAATGTATTTCAAAATTTGCCTCTATTACACTTCGACAGAGAAAATCTTACATCCACCGGAGAAGATTTGTTTAAGAAAACTTTAAATAATTTTATTGTACCAATGGTCAAGTCTTAGGCTTTCAGTTGCTTATGAATGCAAGAGATGATAGATGTGGGACAGAACGTGCTAAAGGGACCGCTTGTGGTACCATGGTAAGCCATGTTAAACTGAAAACAATGACTTCATACAGTCCTACGCCACGTCAAATAGAGACTACACGTTATACTGACCTGCAATTGCAAATGCACATCGTCAAGAATTGGGAAAGAATAGTCTATAATTATCGTCTCTCTTTGACACTATGGTGTGACTATCGTGCTTGAATTACATTGCCGTATTATATAGCACACATAATTCCATGAATGCCAACAAGACACGGGATGAGACAAGGGCAATAACTCCAAACTAAAAGCTTGAGATCCAAGAACAATAGACAAGCATTGATAATTGAAATTATCACTTAACACTTAACTAGAAATGTCTATGTACGTCAAAACCATGTACATATTATACCAAAATCCCTGAAATTCAAGAAATGGGGATATGAAGTTTCCTTTTCACCAAATCGAAGAGTTTCACATATACTTACACCTTTATGCAATATTGCATTTACCTATTAATAGTATAATAAGCATTCAATTAATTGTGTTAAACGTTCAAATGACTTTACAAGCTTATAATATATCTACATAGACCACACTAATTCATAACTCGTCAAGTGTGTATATACCTTCACGCTACACTAGCCACCATAAACACCTTATCTTATACAGAGGCACTCCTTTGTACTGCACGTTAACAAAACAACATTCTTGAACTTCAGATATTTGAACTTATTACGCATATCTGGGATATTGATATCGAAAGGTAAGTTTGTTTCACCATATTTTTTAGAGAGAAAAAGCCTTATTTTCAAACTTTTGTATAGGTTTGTGTTACAACTCCTGGTGTAAATTTATGATCTTTTTTCAATAACCATTCTTGAAAACTAATCGGAATATCTAAACTTTATCATTTTTGAAAATGATTTTGGTAGTGATACTGATTTAAGTGTAATGTAAATTCGCATTTGAAAGAATTTGAATAAATTTGAAAAAATACTCAAAATATTGCATTACTCAGGTAAACAAAGGATTCAGGTTTAAATAGGTCATCTCATTGTGACTGAGTGGTCGAACAGGTTCGTGTCTATATAGGTTATAGCTAATAATGTATCCCATTGTGTATTAACTTTAATATAAAATAAAATCGGAGTGATGGATATTTCGTCATTTGCAACAAAATTCAAATCTTCCTAGATTCGGACTCATCTTTAGTAAAAACATGGACTTAAAACATTACCGAAAAGAGTGTAACACAAGGGCCCTTAATGATTAAAAATAGTTTTCTTAGTCACCAGCTATGCTTATAAAAATTTAATTGTATTAGATTTCGGGGAAGGGAGGGTTTGACTCTACCAAATGTACAGGCCTAGGAAATATTTCATTGAGAAATGGGAATAAGCAGATGTTATATTAACTTTCATTCCTTGAATATTATATTTTGAATACTGTGTTTTAAGTTCATGGATGTTGAAATTGTCTTTAGTAATGAATGGAGTTTCTCATTCCGCCATTGCAAAAAATGCAGTCATGACATGCACTGGTTTTTATATTTTGAAGTAGCGCAGTAGGACATGCTCGCCTGGCCAGAACACCTGATCATTACTCAAAATATGGGGTACCATCTTGAAAAGAATGGGGCGTATAGATGCTAAACTCTCCGATACTCCAACGAAGTCTAGCAAACCAAATTTGGCTCCCTTTCAGATCATTGAAAACATGCTGTCAATTACTTGCTTTGAAACAAAATTCGCTCTGATTAATGTTATAGAATGCTTTGACGAGCATCGTGTTAATGACCCAGTAGTAGTTCCCTTAATGCACACTTCATGGGGTTGTGTATCTCAATTGTCTGCAGAAAGGTTGTGAAAAATTTGGGTCATGAAGGTGTTGACATGCGCCAATAATCAATACAAGGTTTACAAGTAAATATATGTGTCAATCCTCATCCCTGTGAAACTTGAAGACGTTGATCCCTTTCAAATTTAGTAGACTGAATCAGTTATAACTGCTTTATGTAATGTAAGCTTTTAGATATCTGAATCCTCGTCTGTGAAAAATAGTTGAAGGACTTCACATCAATATCATAATTTCAGTGAGATTAGGCTGAGCATTATTTCAACAGTGTTGAAGTCGTTTTGCGTTCAAAAGTTCAAAAGAGTTCAACCTTGGTCGACCCATCTTTACAATATTAATGAAACTTTGTCTCATACCGTGACTGCCGTAGCAATCTTTGTTGTATGGCGGAATGCAATAATTTGATTGGATTGTACGCCGGCAAATACAGCCAATCAAAGCCCTTGAAAGACACACTGTAAACATGGTTTTTTGCTGTCTCGGATTGAAACAATCCATAATCAAATAGCTGCATTTACACATTTCCGTGATAAAAGAAAGGTGGCTAATGCATTCAAGGTATAAGACGAAACTCGTAATAGATATTGTGAAGATGTGGTAGACCTTGCTACTGGCGGAATTTAAGAGCAACTGGTGGTATCTGGTAGAACTTGAAAAATTGCGGAAGATAGTGGTCCTTGGACTCCCAAGTTGTCGCCAACTACCACCACTTCCTTGCAAATATTTGAACTAATAGTCGGAGAAGCCGAGAGTAATGTCGCATGGAATATGGGATTTGTTTCCTTGATTTCTGAGCAAAATTTAAAGCACTTAAATATGCGCAACAACATTAAAATGCAGATCTAAATGTTCCGTTAATTTTTTGGGTTGGGTTACTACACTCAACAAAAACACGTTTTGGTTGAAAGTTAGATTTAATGTATGCAGAATATACTTCTGAACGACGCCGAATATTCCTAGGATCAACTTTTTTTTGAGTGCATTTCACTGGAAGTTTAGTAGCGAAGCTACAAGTGTGTTCACAAAAAAAATATAAACGGGATTAAACTGTATATAACATCACACAAAATTCACAAGAACTGTATCGTGATCCATTTTCCTTCCAGATTTTAAGATGAAGAAGTTGGCATTGGCGTTATTATTGGTAGGGATAAGTCTTACAGAAAGCGCCGTTGAAAATCCAGATTGGGAAACAACACCAGAATGGTCGTTCCAGGTATGTATTTTTATTCCGATTTATTTGCCTCAAGAGAGAATTCAGATACTGAAATGCACCTAGCACACAATCTTCCAGTTACCATCAGTTGCTAGCTGTCGTCCAAAATCCAGTTGCTTTCAATTTCCACCAGTCGATCTGGATCTGATGCTTATTTCGGTAAAGACAAATTTGATATTTCCCTGGTCAATGTCATTCATGTATTCACTGAAATTTACTTTTTCTCGTGCATGAATCTAACACTAGGCTGTGAATGTTTGGGAACTGTTTGAAAGTTTCTTGTATACACCAGGTAATAATATTTATATAATCAGACATCCAAAAGAACAGTCAAAATATGTCATAGTACTGAAATAGATTGACCCCTATGCTTTATTAGTAGTGTTCAAAAATCTGTTGGGCGATCTATATTCTTAACAAAGCTTTAAAATCGAAATTATACGGCTTCTTTCAAAACGAAAGGAAATCTTGAAGTCTTCATATATTTCTATGTCACAATAATCGTATGCAGCTATTAAAAACATAGGCGGCGTTGCATATACTTTAAACCTTACCCACAAGAGAAGGATATAGCCTTTGGACAATAGATCGATGTCATAGATTCTGTTGATGCGCATGTGTACACTCATTCTGAACCCGAAAAGTTTCCGAAATATTACGAATATGTTAAAAGGTCTTATTTGCATCCATTCATTGACAACAGACGGCGTATGTTGTAGATCTGACCATTCTGGTGTAAGGTTTTTTAGGTTTATTAGCGGTAACCAGTTGACCTTATAGATTTATGACGACGATAAATACACTGGGTTGATATTCTCTTGATGCGCAATCAATTTATTTCAGGTCTATCTAAACGAGGATGCTCATTTAAAATGTAATGACTCTGATGTAATGTTAATGCTTAACGATGAAGTGCACTGGAAGCTTCCCGATGATACAGAAGTTCATGGATGGTCCGACCGGAACACAACCAAACACGAGTTAATGGACCTGAATGGCGTTAAAGGAGCTACACTTCGTATCAAGAATGTACAGCATAGTGACAGCGGTCTCTACTTCTGCTCAATATCTCGAGGTGGTGTGTTTTTGAAGAGGGTTAACCGAGGTCTCAATTTGCATGGATATTTAGTTCACGATCAGTTTGACTTGTACCAGACCAATTTGGTAACAGCTGTAGTCGCTGCGGTTGTTTTCTGTGTTCCTCTTCTCTTTCTCTGTTTTCTGTACCGTTATCAATATCGTACTCCACAACAGAAACAGAGGAGAAAGGAGAAAGAAGCTTATTTTACAGATTTGCAAAAAGCCATTCAGAATGACGAGGCTTTTCCAACTAAACCATCTCGAAATGGTTATGAAAATCAGGCCTATATAGATACACATTTATAGATTATACACTCGCTAAAGTAAAACCTAATACTTCTTTCTATTATCTTAATCGTCAGAAGATCTCAATTAGGCTTCTAAAACGCCTTTAGTTTACAAATCAATTTTATGCAGAACACGTAAGGCTGTAGTTTTATGAACATGAGATAAATGCATGAATCAATGTATTATCCCGTCCATAAAAGTTTGATCTCGCTCGTCAAATAAAGATATTTTTGATTCCATTCATAGAGTTATCAAATAACATATTACATCGTATTCAATCGTGCGCATTCCCTAGCCTCCCATATACTTTATAGTTATTTCATGACGTATGTACCAACAGAATCTCAATTTATTTTAAATCGTTTTAAATCAAATTGCTATGAAATACGTTCATGGGCGTAAATCAGAGAGCTCATATACGGTTAACTTATAATATACTCATACATTTTATGTGTTTATAAAGATTACATTCCGACTAATGGAGAACATGATAATCTTGCCATTTTTGTATTGCACATCTGTGATTCTTAATAATGATATTCAGATGAAAGCTAATGCTTATCTTAATAGATTGTACAAATGGCTTTTAATCTATAGATAACTTAGTAGTTTAGAGTATACACAATTTCAATTGCATAAAATGTGTATAGGAATCCGGTCGACTGGCGGTTCAGAAAATCTTAACGAATTCGTTGCAGTCTAAATGGACGAAAAAAAGTAACAAACTGCGATAAACTGGATGGTCGATCTCGTACAATCCTACATTGGTCCACTCCGGTCGGTCATAGCATGTGGTTATGGATCAGATTCTTCCACATACCACCTGTTGCTACCAGTAGTTGATGTTGCTTTTAGGTTCAGCAAGGTCGATTTGGGTCCGCCATAGTTTTAATATACATAACTTGTAGAATTTATAATTTTTGTGATATCAAGTTTTATCAATTGTTTACTTATATAACGTAATCTATATTTTATAATGTTTTATCATGTACGATATTAATATTCTTTAATAAACCACATTTTATTATCATAGTGTTGATTTGTATCTTCGATGTCAATTATTGTGAAATTAATTTTATATGGATGCCGTCGTGAACGTTCAAATTACCCGCTGATAGAACTCAATTTCAGACTGTCGTCACTTTCAAGGCATAATTGACATGTGCGTGCATTATTACCAAAGATGTCATGGTAAAAACTGCCGAAAAAATGAGAAAAATAAAAAAAATAGGAAGACGGTTTAAAAGAGAGGTCATCCTGGTTAGATGATGAACCAGTGTGCCTTGCACTGGTATGCATGAAATGTAGGATTTTAGCCTTCTATATTGAATATTCCTCCTTGGGCAATTTGCAATTTTCATTTGCAAAAAAAAAAATGGCTTCGCTTATTTTCTGGATTTATTTTCGACAGCCCTCTGTGGACATTAAAAAAAAAATTATGTTTAATTTCAATTTTTTTTTTACACAACTTAATACCTTTTCTATATCATCAAGAAATGATGATGCTTACATGTTTGTGGTACACGAGAAGCTGCTTCCTCAGTTAAAGAAAATTAGACTAAAAATTAAGATCTCAATCTTCTCAACGTAGAAGCACTGTGGTGATATATATCATACTGATTTTGAATTTGTGGTTGGGATTTTAAACTAACCAGGCCCGTATCTACAGGGGCGGGGGGAGAAAGAATTCTTACAACCAACCAATTTCATTATTAAACACCCTAAACCATTGGCCCCACCGGATATACTACTTGCCTCAAGCCTCGCTTCGGGCTTGAAACTAACCCCTACTTTACTTTAGTCTTTTGGTGAATTAGTTATTTAGAAGTTTACTTATATATAGTGCAAGATAATAAACGAATTACACATTTACATATGGACATCTATTTCCTTTTGATCTGTTGCGTCTTGGGCAGAAGAACCGTTTGGTTGTTCCAAAGGCTTTTCACTTTTAACAATTTCAATGTCGTTATACGCAGAGTTATCATACACCCGAGATGTTGGTTCGTAGTCACCCTTATTTAAACCGTCTCTTCTTTTCCTGGCATTGTAGCGATAGTGCCATATAACACATGATAATCCTAATATTCCAAGAAGTATACCAGCTGCTATGGCACCAACTACAGCCTGATCGGCGTACTGGTCTCGAAGCTTGGTGAAATCTGGTCCATCGATATTGAGGCCCCATCTAACAACCTGTACTTCCGACGTCATTTTACCTTGTGGCTGGTAGACAATTATACAAGTGTAGTAACCAAAATTGTCATCGCCGACTCGATCTATTTGTATCCAATACGGGAATCCATTTGCCTTTACAATTTTGATTTTGTCTTTCGTTTCTGTAATGAGCTCGGCGCTAGGCAACATCCAATGTATACTTTGAACTTTCGACCAATTTTCAGAAATATTTAAATGAATACTGTCACAAGTAAGATTAACTGGTTGAAAATATTCCGTCTGGGCACTTCTGCTCATTTTCCCGTCCTCCATCTTTGAAATTACCACTGAAATCAATATGGCCGCCAGGCAGACGCGGACCCATATCTGACTTACCATCTTGAAAGTCACGAAAAACACTCTGAAAAAAATATATAACGAATTGAGTTTTCTGCATTTTTTTTTACATATTATTTTAAAAATTCATAGGGGCGATTGTGGTTTACATACGAGATGATATACCTCCTTTAATTTTAATCCTTACTACATTCTGGAAATACATTTTCACATAACGTTCACGGTAGATTGGGCATTCCATTTTAAACCTCTCACATAAATTTTCTATCGACCCCATAGAGACCACAGCCAGTAGCCGTCAATATTATCTTTTTGTTGGTAAATTTTGGCTAAAAATTGATCTGAAAGAACAAATTCAAAGAAAACGTGCCTGTGTATATACTTGCAGTTGTTTGATCAGTACTGGTTTGAAACTTGAAACTTGGATTTAATATAAAAATAAATCAGGAAATTATTTTCATACAATAAACGACCTTGGAAGAAAAGCTAGTTTTCTAGGTAAAATGTAACTTGTGAACTGAATTAACCGAAATATTAAGTAAAATATAATACTTTCTTTCAATAAAATCGGATATTGAAACCAATACAAAATAAACATTTGATTTTAAAGCTGTGTAAACAAAACCCTTTTGTGTGTAAACAAACCAGAAAAACCGTGTCATGTATCTTCTTTTTTTATGTAAGCCTAGATATGCATTTTTGTAAAATACACTACGTAACCTTGACCGACTATTCTACTTGAAAAGCAGTTTTCCTTAAGTCATTACAAATTCCATGGTAACAAACCACAATTTTAATCAAGGTTGACATTTTAAGTTTTTGCAATCTGGCAAAGCGTGGACTGCCGATGATAGTCACCCAGAGTGAGTTTATGAAGTTTACCAAGCATGATAACATATGCCAACAGGATGTCAAGAGGTCGCTCAATCATTTAGTAATTTGTGGAGAAGGAAACCTATAATGCGATGATAGATTAGTTATTAGTTTCTCGAAGTAGTTGACGAACCCCATGCATAAAAATATTGGTTTCTTCAAAACTTTCGACAAGTAAACGGATTTATCTTTTGGTATTGGGACTAGTTGAGCCAAGTCTACAAGCCCCCACCGAAATTATACAATAAGGCTATGATCCAAATAAGCAACAACTAATATATGAATAAGTGAAATATCATTAACTACAGACTGAATCTTTCATTAACAGGCGGACCCCTACTCATAATCGGACACCACTACATCGGGTCAAATAATAAGCCAAGACTGACAAGCAATTCATAAAAGTAACTTGACCAGACATGACATCTTAACAAGATATCTCTTGTACAGGGCGAGGAATTGATGTGAAGTAACTTATGTACGAAGTTTGAGTTCATAACCATACCGTCGCTGGACATTTCTTAAATTTCTGACCCCACTTGTTTGTTATTTTGCGAGATATCACCAGTAGTATGTATTTGATTTGAGTATATTTAGTACAACATAACACACAGATAATTCTCAATATCTAATCTCACTAGGAAAAGAGTCTAGGGCCACATCGACATATTATTAAAATGATATCTACGTAGAATTTTCATTCATAATTTTCAAAATAATTAACATTCGAAAGAAGCTGTGTACCTTTGCTACATGGGGCGTCCGAAGTACATAAACGCTTAGTAATATGCCGATTGTTCAGAGGTATGCTTATAGTATTGAAACAATATTATTCGTTTCGCCCATTGACATTCCGATTTATCAATTAAAAAGAAAATATACTAACCGACTTATCAGGTGTAAATATCTTGTAATGAAAGTAGTCTTATAACGTTTAAAGATAGGTCGTATATTAAAACAATGAATGTACATACAAGTCTTATCAAGATGAATTACTACCAACCAATGTATATCTCGACAAACCTATATCACTATACACATTTACATATAGAGTGTTCCATTTTCTTACAGGTGAGCTAATACCTAGTCGACATTTCTTATTTCACAAAGCAAACATAAAGCAAGACTGTTTTCATTGAATATCGAATGGACTATAGACCTTATATTAAATCTGCAATATCACGAATAACATTAGTAAATTCATATACCCTACTGAAACCATAACCTCGGAAGAAATAGTTCAAAATAAAATTGTGTTCATAAATGACAGGGCAAATGAAAGAGGAACTCGGTTATAATGCCCGAACAATTGGAATCTGATCGGTTAATTAAACGAAAACAACATGAGATATAACCGCTTCCCAGCAAATAGTTTTAGGTAGATTATGTCTTGTGCAAATTACCCGAAATTAGCCTTTGAGATCAGATTTTTTTGGGCAGCAAAACTGACAATAGAAGGACTGTGGTTAAATCAGGATTTCAGTCAGTTCTTACAACCAGGGTGTCTTCGATCTCAGATAATAAATAACAAGTTGTCTATTTGTTACATATTGAATTTCACACCGGACATCATACACCCAAACCCATAAATAATGGGATGTGGATTTCGGATCTCGAAGGGATATTCAAAGCGCTCTTATGATTTTCCACTCAATTAAAATAGATAGCTTGCGTTGTCGATCGGTCCATTCCTTATCTATTTTGAGCAAATTTGATCGCAAGTTATCGCCCTTGTTGATACTTTCATTTCCACAATATACTTTTTAAGGCTTGGGATAGCTATTTAATCTTCAATGTCCTTAAAATTCGATGGGCCCTGCTCGGCTCTCTCGGCTTATGTTTCATAAAAAAAATCACTTTCTTTTGCAATTCTTCATAAGGATGATGTTAACCAGAGTTAAAAGCCAGCATGTAAAGTGTTCCACGCCATTGTTATACCAATGGTAATTTTGCGTTTGACAATTATGGGAGAAAGAGCTCCCAAGCTATAAAATTATCAGTGTCAGAGGAAACGCAGATTTTAATTATATTATGATGTTTCTTCACCAAGAATGTTAATGCGTACGAAGGGAAGTAATCCGCTTTCATAAATACAATAGAGTACATGGGAAAAGGAAAGCACATTGACACAAATTGATGTTTATTGTGGGTCAATTGTCGCGGAAAGGGCTTTTTCATTCGCCGATGACTTTCCGTCTCATGTGCCTCAAATCCTTATTTCAAATGAGTTATACGTCATACTTTTCTGCACCATGTGGGCTAATGAAGACGGCCTATTTAAAAAAAGAAACCTTATTGCCAACGAGTTTGTAGATGGCGTAGGTAGTTTAAGTCCGCTTCCAACGTAAGCCAATATCCCAGACTAAGCTGTTGGTATTGGCATTTTATATCAAAACAACCATTGAGAGTAAGAGTTGAGCTATTATAAATACCGCGTTTCCCTGTTGCAATGAAATAAATGCTCCACTTAACTGCACTCTAATCATGTCATGGGTACAATAATTCGACTCCTACATTGAAATTGAGACGCGAGTCTCTGTTGGAAATCAAATGTTTGCTTAATATCACACAGGCTCAGATTTATTATACGCATACAAGCGTTACATTTCAAAATGAATATTTCTAATTCAATTTAATACATTAAATTCACGAATATTAAAATATAGGACTTCACTGCTTTGTGAATTTGTTCAGTTTTTTTACTATATCAAAAGGAGACATCTCCAAACATCTTTGGGCCTTTTGATCAACTATAATTATAAAAAATCTTTTAGTGATGAGAAAATGCGTACAGTAATATATTCTGTTCAAGAATATTACACCTACAAAGTTGAGATAAACGCGCAGTGTCCGAGACCAATCTCGTCTAACTCATCTGAGGTTTGATTCCAAATGATGTTTTTACGGTCTGCTGTTCCTGATTAAGCCAACGCGATGTAACGCGGTGTAATTTTTATAGCAGCTTAAGTCTTCTCTTATTCGATTTCTAACTGTCCATCGATCTTTTATGTGCATATCCTTTAGCACATGGGATTTTTTCTGTCGCCAATCTCTATCATTGACAGGAGGTAACCAGAATAAAAATTCCGAAGATGCCATCTTAATCCCACTGGAAAAAGCTTCCTCGACTCATCTGCGAAAGCACTCAAGATTATTTGTTACTAGAAGCTAGCCAAGTGTCATGAACCGTAATTTGTAGTCACAGTGAATGTTTTTGCAAGGCTATCAATTTTTTTCTGAAGTATGTGATTTGGTTGACCCCTGGTGTTATTATGCAGCCCTTACATGCCACATGTGACCTTGCTTGAATACCTCTTAACCCATATAAACCTAACGATAAATAAGTTACAACTGATAAAATATTTGTTCAGAAATCGCCCAGATTGTAAGACTTTCTTTTCAAAAGGGTCCGAAGGGCCATTCAACTCAATAGCAAGTTTCTCCAACATTGACAAAAATTAGGGCTCACATCTCAGAGAAATTAAACATTGTCAAGAAGTTTTATTTAACTTTCCCTAAGCCAATATGTAATATTATTAAATTATTCGTCAACATAGACAAGTGTATCGTCAGTCATATAATACATCCACGAGGCTCGAGAAGTGCCCTCTCTGTCAACAAAACTCGTCTATGCTAATTTATCATCATGGTAGGGAGCCTCATGGGTATGTTAAGGGTTTAAACTCGATTGCTTACAATGATGTGACTGTTTACTTAAGCTGAGATGTCCAAAATATATGTTAAGCCAACATTGCTCTTACCCTGGCGAAGTAACGGATGTAGTGTATTGGGATTTATTTTAAAGACTTGATCAACTACAATTCTCAATAATATCTAACAAGGTATGTACGAATTTTATATTTCCATCGTGTTCCCTGTGATTACCTTTGTCAGCTTAGTAGCGATTTTACTCTTCGGATTGCAGAGTGTAAGAAATATAGGACATTTGCTATTGGTGACTTTCCGACCTTCAATGGTACAGGGCTGATGTATATCCACAATATGGAAAATCTTGTACTTAATATAATGTTTATATTGGATTTAACCTCAAAAAATGAATTTTATGAACACTAAATGTCACTTTGCGATTGGAATGTCAATTTTTCGTAGTGAAGTCCGCATATTTAATATTGTGCATTTTGGTACATATACTTTTATGCCCCAAGATCGGTTCAACTTTCCTTACAGGGCTTGGAAATGTAGCGTTCGCGAATTTGATGATTGTTTATATCTGTATGTGGTCCCAAATACTAACTAACTAACTAACCCGAAAACTAAACAAACATATTGGCAATACATCGGTTGCAGCTAATGAACAATGTATACAGTCGTATGACATTGTTTTCGCAAAGATTTAACAATTGGTCGAGGGCATCAAGAAGTCATATTTATTTAAATGTATGAAATATGCCCAGAATTATTGTCAGTTCAGTAACTAAATTCGGCAAATGCCATCCTCCAAATCATAAATCAGGATAAGGTCCATGGTCATAGTTATGGCCACATTATTTGTGGTTGATGGCAGCCAAACTTGTTCTAGTTGGGTTTCCTAATATCCTGGTACCCTTGATGAAAATAAACTTGACGTCGTCAAAATAGGTCAATTGATTGCTTTTAAAAGTATCTTTTACATGCTCAACACCTGTAAACTTATTTTTCAGATGATTTCGGAGTTGGTAGTAGTAATATTGTTCATAGCTGGAATTCAAGCTCAAGATGACACAGAATGGAAATACAAGGTAGAATATGATACACCATTTAATATCACCTGTACATATGGGAAAATGGGCATGATGTCATCAGCTACAAAAACAATGCGCTGGATTCTACCCAATGGTGACATGGTAGCAGGAATGAGTTCTCAGCATGAACGAGTGGAGCTTCACATGGATGGAACGCTCCTCCGACTCAAACACGTAGATGATCAAGACTTTGGCAACTATTTCTGCCTGATATACGATCAAAAAATAGGAGAATACTCGGTCGTCAAAAAAGGCATCAACGTGGATGGACCATATTGGGGTGATTTGACGGGAAAATATCGCGATGGTATCATCATTGGTTCTATTGCAGCAGCAATAGTCTTCGTACTAATGATTGGAATCTGTTATTTATTTGAACGAAATCCAGTTCTGATTGGTAGAGACAGTGAGATGTTAGGCGTATATGTACCCAAAACCGAGGTGGATAAGAATAAATATGAGGTCCAGGAATATGAGAATGCTGCAATAAAAATGCAAGACGAAATTAAAAAGTCCGAAATATCAAATGGAACTTATGTTGAAGATGTTTCAGATAATGATGGAAACACGCACCTTTAAACCTTTCCATTTTTTTCTATTCATTGTACGCAGTGATATCAATGACTTTACCAATTTACTTTAAGACCGGCGCACACACGAGCCAACAGCTTAGGCAGAATTCAATTGTGCACTTCTCCTTAAGGCGATAGCTTCCGTGTGCGGGTAAATTTATGTACGATTTTGGTCATTCGTGTCGAAAAGTTAAAAATCAAACGTGTTTGATAATTTTTTTCCATGAATGAACGAATGCTTGTGGGTGCGCGTTTCTGGAACCTCATTATCATTCCCAAAAGATTAATTCATGATTTGTCTCTTTCAATTGCGTCATACGTCAGATTCTTCTTCTGTGGATAGAATTTAATACTATTTTGGTTCTTCCTTGGTACACTATTATTCCAAATTATCCATCCGAGCAACCACACCAGTCGGAAGTAATTTACTCCACGAATACGAAGTTCATACAACGGAATTAAACTATTGATTTTGGAGGAATGTTACTCGACGTCAATATTATGGAAAATTTTTACAACTGAAAAATCTATTTGCTTTTGTTTTCTGTTTTCGAAAAACGATTTTGAGTTCATAGAATATTTCTCAAAACACAATAGTTCTATTCCGTTGTATAATAATTCAATTGGTCTTTTTTGGAGTTTTTGCCAAACCTCTTTCTGAGGCGTAGCTCCACTGATATCATATCAATTCTCTTAACCTGTTATAAGAAACTATTTTTATTTGTAACAAAATAAACTATAATTGTAGAAGACTTCGTTATATTATTTCTCTAATGTATCAGCTTGGTATGTTCAAGATTACTCTGACGAGGGTGACTTACATCCACGGCAATTCCAGCATCGTCAAGACGGCTTATTTATTCATAAGCCGTGTAGGTGATGATGCTTTAGTCGAACACTTTTGCCAGAGTTACCCCCCCCCCCCCCCCCGCACAAAATCATTTAATCCTCAAACTAACGCTGTTGGGGAGGTGATGGGTTCCCTTGGCTCATAGTTTTATTCTGCAATACAGATAGTCTACATGCTCTGCGTTTTTTTTTTAATAGTGGGCATAGCCAAAGCAAAAAAAAATATTTTTGAAAACCATTTTATGACAGACAGCTGAACACGGGGACGGTAGAGGATTGATCAAATAAAATCTTCAATAAAATTAATCTCAAAACGAATTTATATTGAGAAGACAATGGCGGTGTAGCGACTTAAATGGACACAAATTTCTACGACACATTTCAGACAATCCCTCTTGCCTCTTGTGGTCACCAATTCGAAGATCCAGAACATTACTTGCTCTACTGCCCGATACATTCAGATGTACGAAGAGATACTCTCTACCTTGTTACACCCTTCTGATTTAATTATTAATACACTTTTATTCGGAACAAAATGTCGACAATTATCAAAAGTCATATTCGAACAAGTTCGTAAATTCATTCAGCAAACGAAAAAAACTGCATTACCTAGATTTTCAACCAATGTCACCAGCACTGAGGTGAAGATATCAAGTAAATGTGTTGAGTTTAGCTCAAAATCATGTTATTCATTTTATTATCATTTTCTAATTTAATTATATCATGTACTTTATGTTTTCGGGAGAGGGGTAATATAGGCGAAAGCCTGTTAGCCAATCCCTTTCATTTCTATGAATAAAATATTGTTTACAAAAAAAAATAATGGTGGATATGGTGCCAGGCAGGGTAAGCTTACCTTACACTTCACTCTAACCTTGAATATAAAATTTCAAAAAGCATAATCAGCGATATGGACAGTGAAAGGGTTGCCGATTGGGAATGTTTTTTTTTCTCCATAGTATTGGGACTTTCAATCTGGGGTTAATTTTGTAAAAAAAAATTGGGAGGGGTAATGACGCGCTTTGTTATCTAGAATAAATTTTTTGGACAAATACAACTTAAGTTATTCTTTTCAAAAAGACTATTTTTCAAACATGAAAAAGAAATCACCTTAAAGTGGGATTTATATTGGGGGGTAATGAATTAATCAACGACTGTGAAAGTGGTAATAGAAAGATACAGACCTGGCACCAAGCCTATATTTTAGGATGATATTGTGTGGACTTCGTTAGCGTATCTGTGATCAGAATGAGTTGAACAATTAACGATTTAGTAGATACCCGAAAATACAAAATACTCACACTAAAACGCCACCAGATTACTTTTCCGGATGCTGTGAAGGGAAAACATCAGGACGACGATGGTTTTCATCCTTTCAGCAAGTCAGAAAATACGGAAAGATGAAAAGACTAAACCAGTTCAGTCAGTAGCTACTAAGCACTCACAGGAATAAACAGCTACAGTAGGTCGGTCCGTAAAAACTCAAAATTTAGAAGACCAGAACGGCTTCAGTCATTCGATTAATACAGGACTAAACCGCTTTGGTGAAATTTTACAGGACTAATTCATTTCATTTTCAGTTAGTCGATAAAGACTAAACATTTACATGACTTAACCGCTTTAGAGAACTTATTCGCTTAAATACTGAAAATTAACAGTCTAGACCGTATTGGCTAGTAAATACTGAAAATTAACAGTCTAGATTAGTTAGTAAATACTGAAAATTAACAATCTAGACCCTAAATTAGTTAGTAAATATTAAAATTTACTAGACTAAACAGCTTAAATCAGACGGTAAATATTGAAAATTTACAGATTTACAGTTTCAGTTAGCAAATACTGAACATTTAAAGCAACCTGTCGAAAGATCCGATTTTATTATCGGCCAATAATTACTGACCTAATCCTATCAGCCAGTCTGTAAATACGGAAAAATATTCATTGCAAAACAGTGAAAAGGACCCGATAAACTTTCGCTCATAAAGTCCTTTGCCTCATACTGAAAATAGCAGTGCACTCAATCTTATTATTCAGTAAATACTGAACATTTCAAGGAACCCATCGCTTTATTCTGTGGTTAAAACTTAAAAGACTCAAATCCATTCGTCAGTCATTCATTATTACAGTCAGTCAGTCATTGAATTTAGAGTACCCGATACCTTTATTTAGAGTGTAATGCTGATTTAGTAATTTGAGATGTTGAAGATAAAGGTTATAACAGGTATTATTTTGTGAGCCTGAATATTTAAAGTTGATAATGAATCTAGTCATTGGAAACCCTATTAAATAATATATAACCTTCAGACACAACCTAACTCTCCAAGGTAAGAGAATTCTTATTTTTTCTTCTAGATTAGCTTAAACAAAATGAAATTAGACTATAAGACGGACAGCGCTCTGTGGAGTGTGAAATGAGGGAAATTTAGTCAAGACAGTCTCTCTCAGACATACATAACTGATGACATATGCTGGATTGTCCCTGAAAATTTTTGTAAAGGAGCAAACGTCAAACTCATTTTGTCACCGCGGCCCCCGAATAATCTGAACAGGGATTTATTGGTCCTGTATGGGATTGTGGTCAATGGCAATGATTTGTCTGAATAATCAATTGCAAAATATAAGCAGATGAATATAGATATCCAAAAATATGAGCATATCCAATCCTGTACTTTACTCAACACAACATTGTGGTGGACGACAGATAAATGTCCGTTTCAAGCTAAAACTGATATAGCAGATTATGTTGTTGTTAGGTAGTCATTATTCGGATATTTTGAGAATTCAAAGGGGGTTTTATAGACTACTTTTGTGTATATGGGACACTTATAGCATCTACTATTAAGTGGTGAAGTGCCAGCATTAAGGAGTAACAATCTGCCAATTTTCGATATAACTAATATGCCAATGGAAAAATTATCTTGTTAAGTTTTTCAGGAAATACATGAACCACAGTTCAAGAATCGGAGCAAATGGAAGCTATAAGTTTCCCGAAAGCACTAACAATTCAAATTCTTTGAATCGCTTCAGATTATATTTTTAAACTTCTGTTGTTTTTGCATTTCAGAATATAATGGGAATAATGTGCCTGCTACTAGGCATAGTGCCTTTATTGTCTCTATCCTCTGTGATGTCAGATGATACCTGGAACAGGCTTATCATACATCATGCCAATATAACATTACCCTGCGATTCCGATGGTACCATTCCAAACAGCACAGCTATTCAAATATCGTGGATACTTCCTGATGCCCATCTGATTCAAATCACACAGGAAATGGTGAAATACCAGAGATACCAATTCCAACAATATGGAAGAAGTCTGAAAATAACAGATGTTGATGTCGATGTCTTTGGAATTTATCACTGCATGGTCGACCTACAAAATGGCACCATCTTAAATTTCAGACATGGCATTAATAAGGATGGGCCTTATTTTGGAGATCTGATGGCCAAATACAAACCTCACATAGTCAATGGGGCCATCGCTGCAGCCATCATGTTCTGCGTTGCTCTCTTTCTGTGTGGCTTTTGTTCTTTTCAACAGGAGAGAGGTCAAGACAAACTTGTGAAATTCCGGGAAGAAAACCCTGGAGTATATTGGGCACCTCCGGAACCCTTAAAACGTAGCACGTATATATATGATAACACAGCAATAGATATGGTAGAATTGAAATCCTCGGTTAAAAGGGTCAATGACAAAGAAGATGTAGAAGATAAACTTCCTCCAAAGGTTGAACTTTATCGTAGTAGTAAACTACAAATCAAAATGTGAAATTAGTCTCAAATTGTGTATGACTAAATAAAAAGTGAGTTTTCTCCCTTGAAATGTTGTAAGTAAATGAAAAAATCAATATGTGGTATCTAATTTAGAAATATTAAAAAGCACATCACAAACAATGATAATTATAATATAAATATAATTATTCTAAACGGAAAGCAAAAGGAGGACCTTTAAACAATATATTCTCAATTTTCGATTTGTTTTTTCAAATTATTTTTTTGAATGACTTCGTTCTATTTTTCATAAACTTCTTTCAAGTACTGTAGTGGATTTGCTGAACTTTTCAGGATACATTGTACCACTCGACCACTCGGTGTCAACCCGGTACACATTCCGGAGAGTCCACATAGCTAGTGTTGTTTATTGGTTACTATAAATTACATTGTAGATGTGTCATATGTATCATTTTGGACTTTGTTTGATCTTAAATAATGTATTTTGTTTAGTCATAACCAACACTGCAACGATGTTTTCATTGTCTCGAACAGAGGGACTGGGTTAAAAATGTGCCTAGCTTGTTAGGCACAATTAAATTAGTCGTGGACTAGAAGACTTGAGGTACTCATTATTACGACTCGTGGAATCCAATATTATGATATATAAGTGTAGTAATAGTGCAACCTGATTTATCTAGTCCATAGCTTTAGACCAGGGTTTTCAGTCTGGGTTAATTTTGACAGTTTTGGTGGGTAAGGAGACGCATTTTAATTTTAGTCTGCCATACAAATTGTGGACCATAAAGCGTACTACTCGGCTTAATTCTCCGAATTAAATCATTACAAGGAAATGTACGTGAAATAGTTTTATATGGGAAGAGGGGGTAATGTAATCGATCAAGGAGCCTGAAAGGGATATTAGAAAGACAATGTTTCAAAACTGCTTTAAAGCTTTTGGCTATGATATACACTGGTAATTACTTGACACAACGAGGAATGGTGCCTGTCTTAACTTTATTTGTGTTGTAACAAATGAGGCAATCAATCATAAATGACATTCGAACACTTCTGCCACTTTTTTTTTACCAATTTTCTTAAAGAATTTCTCCATTCCATTTATCATCGGAAAATAAATTGTCAATAATGTGATCAATGTTATAAGATCCTGACAATTTTTTTTACGTAAACCTTCAGTTAAAATTGTTTATAGAATGATCAGTTTTCCAATTGATAGATTTTATTTCGACAACTACAAGCGACAAGCTAATAGGAATTTTGTGAGTGACTGAGTTTTTGTCGGATTTGTCATTGATTGTTCAGGCAAAATGAGACGGACTTTAATCAAAGACTAAAATAGAACACTTTAAAGACTTAATTTGAAGAAATATTACACTAGTCTTTGGCAATACAATCACTGTTGTTTCTTCCACTAGCAGTCAATATCTTAAAACGAACTTTGATTGTACTGCACAGAACTTTCTGGGTAAGATTACGATTCAAATACCAAGTTGTCGAAAAGCTGCCCACGTTAAAGCGTAAGTTTGAAATGAGTTTTACGTCCTACTTTTCTGCACCACGTGAGTTAATGAAGACGGGGATTGGTGACAGATAACGTTAGTTTTCGGCAGAAGATGATATTGCAAACTAGGTAGTTGATGGTAGTCGTGGTAGATTGATCTGAATTAATTGGATGGTTGGTAGCACAGAAGTAAAACGTCACGCCTCTACGAACGTTGTGAAATTTAATGGTCGTTAGGAAGAACTCCTTGTCAAGTACGACAAATCGGCTTCTGCAAAGTGGCATTATTGTCAAACATGGATTGATCTGGTGGTATCTCATGATTTTCACATATATAGAAGACCATACCTCCTGATGGTACTTCTTCTTTGCAGAGTCCACCAATACACAATTATTTCTCCCGATTTTGTCATGCTTTGAACGAGATTTTTGGTTAACATTTTTTATTATACATGACTTTATATATAAGGCGACGATTCCAATAAGATACATGTCAAAAAGATTCCAGCAGAGGTCTTGAAATCGTGTCCTTGATTTGAGTATTTTTTAGTAATGTACTTTATCAGGTGGTAAAGCAAATATCGACAACTATGTCTCATCGAACTACAAATAAGTATGTTTCAAATAACCTTTATCTTGATTTTAGAATTAAAATGTCCTCTTAAAAGTCAATTTCCTGAAATCAATAATTCAAATGGATCGTAATTTTCAAGCGAAGTTGACATGAAATTGGTACAGAATGTTTATAATTGAGGAAAATTGAGATCTTAAATGGCACATGTTGAAAACTTTCCATGATAAATCAGTAGAATAACATTTAATAAGCTAACTTGATAGGCAACGTAACATACGCCCACTTTCAGTTTAAATTCGGACAAAGTATGGCATGGCAAAAATCAATGGTCCAAAATTCCTGACTTACATAGTCCCTTATTTCTTCTCGAATTGTTGCTCCCAGAAAGCTTCAATTTCAGCAATATATTGTAAAAAAAAATAAAATTTTGGTTTCTGTCCAGTTTTCTGAATTTGTTTGTCTGCATTGTAATCAAACAAGTTTTCTACCACAGTTCTGAAGACGTTATTTTTAACCAATCGAAGCATATCATGCAGAACCCCTTTTTTTTACAACAAAAAGCAATTGTTGGAAAGCGAACCAAAGGTAGAGCAATTTGGCAACCCCTTTGGGATTTGCAACTAACAATTCTTCATCGCTATCATGAGGGGATCTTACACGGTACACTTTGACTAATGGTTTAAGCCATATGTCCAGCGAATGTTTTGGGAGAAAAATATTCTTCAGAAATTGCAATACTTTGTAATCATGTCCCAATGTGATCGGGAAGGGCTGAGCTTGGTGGTTTCGTTCTCGTATAAAACATGTGTTGGCAGTAGTAAAGGAGGTGACCTTCTGTTAAATAAATAAGAGCTAGTCTTCGTACCATAGAATATTCCTATTCTTGACTTCCTGCTCCTGTTCGATGAGGTTGCTGACCTATTGTATGAAATTATGTCCCTTTTTAAATATAGATTTCGTTTCTTTTTTATGAGTCACAACATCAATCATAATCCTAGATGATATTTAACTCGTATAAATTTTCACTTGATTGTGTTATGATTTATCATAATTTTTAAAACGAATCAAAATTGGTGAAGTGAACTGACAAAAACCAATTATTACATAATGAATATCACAGAAATCGGAAAATATGGACAGCTTTCATTTAACAAAACATTTGGCTTAATATTTTAATGGCGTAGAAACAATATTACAAAACAATGTCAATTGGAATCAGCAGTAGACAAAAAATGAAAGTGACACTTTAAGTTAGGTTTAGTTAATAAGTGCTAGACTTTGGATATACCATCTTCATCAGGAGAGTTAAAAATATGAAGGATGTCCCCTTTCACTATATTATGAAGGAAACCACTTTAAAACTCGTGATGTTGGAACAGATATTAATTAATAGTGCTAATATTCCCGCTCTTATCTTGATAATAGAATATTTCTATAGTTATTCTAGAGATATAAAAAGTGTAATAAATATTTTCAGATAGACAGGTTTCCAGAATGTCCAGAAGCTGTGTTTCCTGCATACAACAAGTGTTGATAAAGCTCCCTATTGAGTGGCACAACAAGAAGGAAGCAAATTACACTACTGTCAGTGTAATCTATACATTATTTTAATGCAGCAAATTTATACGCTCACATCGGCAGTCCGTTAATATTTCTGTGATTGTGACGTACAGCTTTTTTCGGGTTTTACTCATAATTTCTCATGTATGTTGATGAGTCCACGCAATTTTTAATTTGATGTAATGATTATAGACCTTCCACCTTTTAATTTGGTGAAATGATTACACACTCAAAATTTTAATTTGGTGTAATGATTATAGACATTCCACTCTTTAATTTGGTGTGATGATTAAGACCTTCCAACTTTTGATTTTGTGAAATGATTATTGACTATCAAAATTTTAATTTGGAATAATGATTATAGATCTTCCAACTTTTAATTTGGTATAATGATTATAGATCTTCCAACTTTTATTTTTGTGAAATCATTATTGATTAACAATATTTTAATTTGGTCAAATGATTATTAACTATCATAATTTTAATGTTGTGTAATGATTATATACCTTCCATCTTTTAATTTGGTGTAATGATTATAGACCTTCCAACTTTTAATTTGGTGTAATGATTATAGACCTTCCATCTTTTAATTTGGTGTAATGATTATAGACCTTCCAACTTTTAATTTGGTGTAATGATTATAGACCTTCCAACTTTTAATTTGGTATAATGGTTATAGACCTTTCAACGTTTAATATGGTGTAATGATTATAGACTATACAACTTTCAATTTTGTATAATGATTATCGACTATCCATCATTCAATTTTGTGTGATGATTATGGACTATCCATCATTTAATTTGGTGTGATGATTATGGACTATCCAAATTTTGATTTAGTGTAATGACTATAGCTGTGCAATTTTTAAGATTTTGTAATGATAAAAGACAGATGCTAGTTGGAATTCCATTGACAATCAAATTATTGTGGTAAGAAAATTCAAATCAGTCGGTTTGATTGGTTGAATTATTTAATGGTCTACAACATTTGGTGAACACAGCACGCAAAGAATGATGTATGCAAAATTTGTTATGGATGACAAGTGGATTCCCCATTATCTTCTTCTACAGACATGTAATGTTGACAATGCTTCAATAATAAATGGAATATGTCGGGTATAATAAGTAAACTAAATCTTAGTCATTACACCTGGTAAGTCCAACTGATGAATATATACACTTGTTTACCAAGATTGAGACTTAAATTTTTTTTGTCCATTTCAAGAGATAGTATTCCTTTAAAAATAGATGGATGTCGTTTCCTCATGTCTATAATTGGCATTTATTTGTGAAGCTTAGATACAGATAAGACGCATTGACATGTTCCCACACAATTATAACTCATTTTAACCATGCACTTTATAGTATATTTTCATATATAGAAAACACTGGGATTTCCCGTACTCTATGCAGTACAAATGTCATTTCTTTTAAAGATTTGAGTTAAATAATATACATCCAAAATGTCCATGATTTCCTTGCCTTATCCTGTTAGAGGACATATATCTGTTCTGATGGGACATTTATAAAAACGTACTGTTTGTGCTTAACATACAAAATGTGGTATTTAAGAATCATCCAAGGTAATTTCCAACATTAATGTCTTAGAATACTGTTTTAATGAACTTTGTGGATAGTCATAAAGCTCTAACTTCAATGAAACATAAAATACTAGAATTTTTATTTTAACAGTTGTGTAGCCGTCAGAAAAATTGTCCCTCAATGTTTCTCAATTTATCCAATCAGCATCAGATAATCAGGATGAAGAAATTTAATTCAATTCATTCTGATTAGCTACCAATGTTGGTGAGAAGGTTCGTCAGTGAGAATTGGGTCAACACAGTTTAATCAAGAGTATCATCATGTGTAATCAATAACTGATCATCAACTTCAGATTCATTGATCATTTCTTGTTTTATTGCTTTCTATCTGCCATGACAGAGGTATATAATCGTTATTCGCTATACCAGCTCATATCATCATCACTGCTACCCATCTCACTTTCTACTATTAAATCTACCATTTTGTTCGTATAGTAATATATCAATCTACTGTCCGACCATGGTGGTTACGGAATCTCATTTTGCCAATTATTTTTTATACGCCCACACACATGGTTTTAGCGTATATTGTAATCAGTCCGTCTGTTCACATTTGGATCGTGCTCACTGTACACTGGGTTGTGGGTTCACTTAACGGCAAATGTCTGGAAGGGAGAGAGAGGGAAAACTTTTTATTTCAAGTGATAAATCTTCGATTGATAAGTTTCTAACACAAATGGCATACAATGGAAAATTTTATATTGGATATTTGTGAATTGAGAGAAAAAAAACTTTTTTATTTTTTGCTCATTGTGGTCGGGAAGTAAGCCGATTTTAACAACGGATAATAAGGATATTGTCCGTTTCCAGACATTTATAATCTTTCTCATAAATATGAAGAAATTAAGTTGTCCGCTCAAAACAGTCTGGTCAGTATAACAAGACTCGCGCAGCTTTGAGAGGCTTTGTAATGTTTTACTTTTTCTGAAACAGGGTTGTATTTTTACCAAATGTTAGAAGTTAAAATGTTCAGTCTTTATATTGAGATCTCGCATGAGGAAAATAGTCAAAACAAACACACTCACTCAACATATTAACAATGATAGCTAGATAAATAGACAACCCCACGGGTAAGAATAACAACCCTCTCATCTCTACGAGACATTAGAAAGATCTTAATGTTCAGTATATCGCTGATACCAATTATTAACTCCTCATTCATGTTTGTCCACAATAGAAAAATCGATGAGTAATAATCACTTAGTTGATTAGGAAAGCCTTTACCCTGCCTATAGCCCTAATCTTATCATGACAGACAAAATACGATATTTGTTTATTTAAGGCTACCATATCATCCTTTAAAATACTTAATTGATCTCCTCATGAAAGTTGGAGGTTAGAAAAATGTCACCAATCAATAAATTCAATATTGAGGCCATGAAAATATCTTTAGTTGAATTTATTTCTAGTTAATTATCAGCAACGGCAAGGAAATGACCAGTTAATAGTCAATTAGACTAAATGGCACTGGAGGCGAAAAAGTAGTGTCAGAATTTTTTTTGATTCAGATGATGATCATTTCTGAGAACACATTTGGAATTTTATTTATACAAATAAATTCTTAAAATACATTAACATTTTAAGAGACTAATATTGTATTGTAGTTATGATTACCCTTGTTTATTATCCTCGTGATATTTAAAAGAAGCATTCCAAGAACTCATAACAAGTTCAAAAATAACCCTTCCACATAGATAAAGCTTGTATGTGTACCTTCCACATAAATAAAGCTTGTATGGTATACCTTCCACATAAATAAAGCTTGTATGGTGTACCTTCCACATAGATAAAGCTTGTATGTGTACCTTCCACATAAATAAAGCTTGTATGGTATACCTTCCACATAAATATAGCTTGTATGATATACCTTCCACAGAAATAAAGCTTGTATGGTGTACCTTCCACATAAATAAAGCTTGTATGTGTACCTTCCACATAAATAAAGCTTGTATGGTATACCGTCCTCATTAATAAAACTTGTATGGTATACCTTCCACAGAAATAAAGCTTGTATGGTATACCTTCCACATAAATAAAACTTGCACGATGTACCTTCCACATAAATAAAGCTTGTATGTGTATCTTCCTCATAAATAAAGCTTGTATGGTATACCTTCCACAGAAATAAAGCTTGTATGGTATACCTTCCACAGAAATAAAGCTTGTATGGTATACCTTCCACACAAATAAAGCTCGTATGGTATACCTTCCACATAAATACAACTTGCATGGTGTACCTTCCACATAAATAAAGCTTGTATGTGTACCTTCCACATAAATAAACCCTGCATGGTATACCTTCCACATTAATAAAGCTTGGATCGTATACCTTCCACATAAATAAAGCTTGTATGGTATACCTTCCACATAAATAAAGCTTGTATGGTATGCCTCTCACATAAATAAAACTTGCATGGTATACCTTCCACATAAATAGAGCTGTATGGTATACATTCCACATAAATAAAGCTTGTATGGTATACCTTCCACATAAATAGAGCTGTATGGTATACATTCCACCTTAATAAAGCTTGTATGGTATACCTTCCACATAAATAAAGCTTGCATGGTATACCTTCCACATAAATAAAGCTTGTATGGTGTACCTTCCACATAAATAAAGCTTGTATGATATACCTTCCACATAAATAAAGCTTGCATGGTATACCTTCCACATAAATAAAGCTTGTATGGTATACCTTCCACATAAATAAAGCTTGTATGGTATACCTTTCACATAAATAAAGCTTGTATGATATACCTTCCACATAAATAAAGCTTGTATGGTATACCTTCCACATAAATAAAGCTTGTATGGTATACCTTCCACATAAATAAAGCTTGTATGGTGTACCTTCCACATAAATAAAGCTTGCATGGTATACCTTCCACATAAAAAAAAGCTTGTATGGTATACCTTCCACATGAATAAAGCTTTCATGGTATACCTTCCACATAAATAAAGTTTGTATGGTATACCTTCCACATAAATAAAGCTTGTATGCTATACCTTCCACATAAATAAAGCTTGTATGATATACCTTCCACAGAAATAAAGCTTGTATGGTAAACCTTCCACATAAATAAAGCTTGTATGGTATACCTTCCACATAAATAAAGCTTGTATGGTAAACCTTCCACATAAATAAAGCTTGTATGGTAAACCTTCCACATAAATAAAGCTTGTATGGTATACCTTCCACATAAATAAAGCTTGTATGGTATGCCTCTCACATAAATAAAGCTTGTATGGCATGCCTTCCACATAAATAAAGCTTGTATGGTATACCTTCCACGTAAATATAGCTTGTATGGTATACCTTCCACATAAATAAAGCTTGTATCGTATACCTTCCACATAAATAAAGCTTGTATCGTATACCTTCCACATAAATATAGCTTGTATGGTATACCTTCCACATAAATAAAGCTTGTATGGTATACCTTCCACATAAATAAAGCTTGTATGGTATGCCTCTCACATAAATAAAGTTTGCATGGTATACCTTCCACATAAATAAAGCTTGTATGGTATACCTTCCACATAAATAAAGCTTGTATGGTATACCTTCCACATAAATAAAGCTTGCATGGTATACCTTCCACATAAATAAAGCTTGTATGGTGTAT